CAACCTCTTTAAAGCATAAACTTCTAGCACACAGAGCAGAAAGACTCAGGGGTCTGGATGGACCAGGGCTCAACTTAACTGCTTGCCCCTATACTACGACAACCCCAGCCAGCCAGGGTCTCAAACTGACAATCTGAGGGAACACAGCGTGGGGAGGGGAGTCCAAAAAGTTCAACCGCTGTGAAAACGTCAGTTATGAATTTGAGAGCCTAGCACTCCCTTTTGTGTACGCTGTACACTGTGCCTTACAGTGAAAATGGGACTTAGGCATTTAAGTCATTTTGGTGCTTTTGAGAATTATACACTGAATATAACATGCTGGCATGCAACCAATTGACATACATAGCACCAAGGCCCACCAGAGCAATACAAATCACCAAGTTTTCTTATTACATTTCCTTATAATCGTCAATTATCAATCCTTTAGTATCTATATCGTCTCACTTCCAGTACTTCGCAAAGGCGTGAGGCTGCACTTACCTTAAGGTGCTCTTAGGAATGTGATCCCTGCTTGTTCTAATGTTCGGTATGGAAGAAACAAGTTTAAAACATCAAAAGCAATTGCTTAAAGTTATTATTCCCGGTTCTCTTAGGCCAATGTACTTGGACTTACAAAGGAGAAAATGCAGATAGCAGTAGTTCGTTAAAATCCATAATATGGTTCCTTGGCCTCTCGCTAGAAAGACAACTGACTCTACAAGGGGACTTTCCTCTACTGATTTTAATGAACAGAGAGAGAGAAATACAATCCCTGAAATGAGTCTCGCCACCTCTCAGGCCTAGACGCTCTGGGAGAGTCTGTCCACATGTCTGGTGGCATTCCTGGGTTCTGCAGCTTTTGTGGGTTCAGCAAATTCTTCTGAGCCTGTGGCCCTACAGGTGGCAAGAGACTGTCCATGTGGGTTCAGCACACTCTGACCCTCACCACACTGACCTCAGTTTATATACCCTGTTTTGGGTCTGGTGGAGGAGGGCAATCCTCTTGTTTCTATTGCCCACTTGCCGAATGTGCTCTCAGATTTCCACTCTCCTGGTTTCTCTGCGGCTTTTGTTGATAGCGTTGATGTGTAACAAATTTCTTCGATACTTTTCATATCTTTGCATTTCAAGAATTCTATTTCTCTATTAACGCCTGCTATTAACTGGAATTTCTCCCCTTCCTGCTTATCAAGCAATTTCATTTAATATTTCAAAAGTTGCTTATGTCTTTCAATAGTTTTTTTCCCCCCTTCTGTTCAAGAAGTCCAATAATTTTTTGAGTGCAGCAATCATTTAGAAAGAAAATCAGCAAGAATCCATTATAGTGGACCTCGTTCATACATTTATATAACCAAAGAATGTATAAAACATTTCACATCCTTTAGGGCTTGCAATAAAATAAGATACACATCCTGTTTTTATGTTGTTTCTTATCTGAGGATCTGGAGGTTTCTTCGACAATATGTCTCATAGTTTGGGAAGTGGGTGTTGATCTCTCATTGTCTTAAGTTTCTGTAGCAGGAGATAACGTGGAATGAGCAAAGAGATTATTACTGAAATCCTCCGTGTGGACAGGAGAATAGAGGGATTGCTTCCTGATTGAAGGGGCAGATAGAGAGAGATACATAAGCCCAGATCTTCAATGGGAGTTAGGTGCCTAGTTCTCATTGATTTCAATGGGAGTTAGGTGCCTAAATACACATGAAGAACTGGGCCCTAGTAATTCACTACCAAAATATTCAAGGCATATTAGACATCTATACATCTGTGACAAATGTGGGAATTGTCTGTAATATTTTAATGAACTATCTGCCTGACTAGTCTGGACTTATCACCGTGGAATCACTACCCAGTGAGGGGCAAGAATTGATTTCCTCCCTAGGGCCATGTCTACACTACAAACTGTGGTCAACACAAGTTATCACAGCGCATAGTCACCAAAGCTTGTACATCGCTCAAGTACGTGCATACTTTGCTCCTTGCGTCAGCACTGCAGGTAGTCCCCAGAAGTGCCTGTATTGATGTGAAGTGTGGTGCACCACGAATAGGTGTCCCAGTATGCCATGCATTGCCATTGGTGCAATGCCTTTTGGGAAATTTTCTCAGTGGGCTAGGGGCTAGAAGGGACTAACCCAGGGATCTCTGAATGCAGGGGGCAAGTTCCTACCATGCAACTTTTTCCATTCCATAATGCCATCCATATCCCATAATTTTGGCACCTCTTTTTAAGAATCCCACAAACCCAGGTAGCGCGCACGCACACACACACACAGAGAGAGAGAGAGGGAGCTACACATCATGATTGGAACTGGCTGAAGAAGGACATCAAACAAAGAACCGAGGATGGGATAAAGTGACCAACCTGGCAGAGGAGAGGGGTCACTCTACCCCGTTCCAAGGCCTGATATGCTACAGTGACAAGAGAGACACACTGGGCTCTAAGGGGTTAATAGAGCGCTAGGAAGGCTGCACAGGATGCAGCCAATCAGAGAAGGGCTGAACGGAGTAGTCAATCAGGGCCAAGCAAGCCCATTTAAAAAGGGAGCTGCAGGGCAGAGGAAGGCAGTTCTCTGCTAAGAGCCCAGGGAGGAAGGACTGTGTCTCTGGAGGGCTGAGAAAACTGCCAGCACCCTGGACAGATCAGTGCTGCTAGCAGGGACCAAAGGAGCGAGAGACAACTCCTGGCTGGCTGCTGGTGTTTGCAGGTTGAGACTCTCAGGCAAAGGCAAAGAGGATGCAGGGGCCATGAGGAAGTGGCCAGACAGTTTGCTGCAGTAGCCACTAAGGGAAGTGGCTGAACAGTGGACTGCAGGTCCCCCGGAAGGCGGGAGCACAGTGTGTGGCATGGCCAGAGGGCTGTGTTGCTGAAGAGGACACCATGGTCCTTGGAGAGATGCGGGTCCTAGAGCAGGAGTGACGGCAGCAAGGAACCACCCAAAGAGGGTGCACAAACACACAGAGCTAATTCCCAAGACAGCCAGCAGGAGGCGCCACAGTGGTGAGTGAACTCCATTACAGGGACATATTATGCAGCAAGGGTTTCAAGGACTTTGGAACTTGCCAAGATGTCCATGTGGCCAATGAGTGACACCTGGTCAGACAGGTTTGCATGGAAGCTGTTTATTGTTTCCGATATATGTTCTCTCCATTGTGCTTTTGTCCTGAATAAATAATACCTTACATCATGAGAACTGGCTAATCCTGTCCTTGCCCCTGTGACAGAACAGGATGGCAGGTGCTGAACTACACTCTGACTTGATCTCAGTAAATTGCAGCATAAGTCACCAGTCTGGAGGGACCTGAGAAAGGTGATGACTAGCAGCCGGAGACCTTAATGGGGTGCCCTCAAAGAGGCCAGGAAGGAAGGCCAGTGCCCAGTTACCTCGGGAACCATGTGCGACAGAGATGGCAATTTCCTGCAGTGTCTTTGTGAGATCTTACTGCATTAGCTGTATGTACCGTGGGACAGGGATTGTATATAATTCCATAGGGGAGAGGAACTAAGAATGGTGGAGGTGATTAGGCAAATTCACACAGGTTGTAACACCTCCAAGGAGGTGTCACCATGCGGAGAGTCTCACCTATACTGGTTCAACTGGATTCTCCAGAGACTAACAGGCAAAGACAGGACGTTTGCAATAATAGTCTAAGTTTAAACTGACGCCAGTGCTGATCCAGCGAATGGACAGGACCTTCTGTCCAAGGGGGCACCCAATCCTTCTTGGGAAGGTTTGGAAGGACTTTCATTTGTTGAGGCTCCGTAAGACTGAGGGGTGGCTTCTAGTAACCTTTGCATATATGTGTGTATAGCATGTGTATAGGAACTCTTAATGTTTTTGTATGTTTTCTCTGTCATGCTTTCACCTTAAGGATAAACGTGCTTGCTTAGAAAGAGCTGGGTGGGAACTTGTGACGGCTGGCAATTACAGCTATTCAGAGCCCACAGAGAGAAAGCAAAGTGCAGATGCTGATGTCAGGCAGTCTGGCTTGCTGGGGATATCGCACTGTAGCCAGGGAACTGTGCAGCGTGGGAAAGCCCCCGGTCAGAATGGGGAGAGATGCGAGTCTCTGCACAAGAGAGGTGATGGCTGAGGAGCCAGGGGGCTAGAGTAAGTGCCCTCAAGGGATCAGGAAGGGGAAACACAGGGGCAGTTGCCCTGAACTGTGATACCATGACAATATGGTTTCATTTCCGGGGCTGCTTTAGACAAGCAAAAGAGCTAGAGACTTAGGGGCTGTATTGTGATGGAAAATCCAACCACTTCATCCACTCCAGTAGTGGCACACAGTCAACATAAGGGCTCTGGGCTCCCCGTTACAACCCATGGCGTAGCAAACACACAGGGACATGTCCAGAGTCCTGCTGTAGCCTGGCTCTTGTCAGCTGCCCAGATGGCCTTTTGGGGCCATAGGCAGCCCTATGTAAGTTAGAGCAGCCCTAAAGGTGCTGTAATGTAAACCAGGGGCCTGGTCTGCAATCAGGGAGGTACAAGGTGACAAAGTCTCCTTGGCCTTCTACTGCTGCCCCACATTTCCTACCCTGAGCAGGCTCAGCTGAAACAGAAAATCAGAACCTCTCTTCTTTTTGGAAACAAAAGCCCAGCTTCTCCTTTGCAGGGCCCAGTGTCACCAGTAGTAAGGAGCTTGCCCAAAGTCCTTTAGCTCCTCAGTGCAATGCAGGCTGTGGAACCAGTTTGCAAGTCAGCATCCCTTCTTGCCAAACTTGTGTCTTGCTGAGATTGGGGAACTATTTAGCTATTTCCACCCTGAAGCAATAAGCAGCCCTCAGCCCTTGCTATCTCTGGGTCTCCATCTAGTCTCACAGCTCAGATTGCACAGGTCCCTTGCTTTGATGGTTTTGGAAAGCGATCAGACAGCTTCCACATCTGAGAACTTTGCTCCTGCCAATGCCAGCAAGGATCAGTTACGTAACTGCCAAGGGAAAGAGGGCGGTTCCACATTAAGAGAACTCCCCACTCCCTCGAACCTGTTGTTGTGTGTCCAATATTCCTCCAGTGCTGTGCAAGTTGAATTACAGTGAGTGACGCTTTCCCTAGCTGCCCAGACACACTTGTGAAGGGACGTGGCTTCAACAAACAAGACACAGACGTGAGGTAAGGGAACTAAATCAACCTATGCATGCAGAGGGTAAAGTGGACACCACATAATAGGGACACAGTTAATAGGCACAGCTGTTTAACTAGTACAAATGGCCAGGGACAGTTTTCCTGCAATGCATTTGGTTTGCTTTAGAATCACCTCTGCAACTTTGCATTGACTAATAGACCAGCTGGAAGCGGATTTTTTTTTCCATGTGCCGCTGAACTTCTATGACAAGCAAGCCTCAAAGCATTTGAGACAATAGAAGCTAGGATGTGCCTTATGCAAACTTTGTTCAGTTTTGAAGTGTGTATTTGTTTCATAACAGATGGCTTTAGAGAGTCCTTAATAAATACAGATGGATGCAAAAAGGTGCAATTACTGGGCAGAAAAAGTGCTAATTCAGTAAACAAGAGCAGGTAAACAGGATGTATTTCTGAAGTATACATTCAGATTTCCATGCTAGGAGGTAGGAACCGAAGCAATGGAGCTGGTTGGGAAATTATCTTTTTTTCCTAAAAAAAAAAGTCAATGAAAACAAGCAAAAAAACCCAAACCTCATGGATGTTGAAATTTTTCCATGAAAAATATTGGATTTTCACCCCAAAAAAATGTGAAAGGGAAAAAATCTGTTTTCTCCTAAAACTTGAACTTATTAATAGAAAACTCATTGTCAGAGAGACATAAGGCATTCCAGTGGCTGGAAGTTGATGCTAGAAACATTCAAACTGGCAATAAGTTGCATATTTTTAACAGTGAGGGTAATTAACTATTGGAATAACTTACCAAACTGTGTGCTGGAGACTTTATCACTTTATCATTTAAATTCTTTCAATGAAGCCTCCATGTCCTTCTAAAAAAGGTCCTGGTTCAGCCACAAGGTATTGGGCACAATGCAGAGGAATTATTGGATAAAATTGTAAAATTCTGTGTTTATGCAGGAGGTCAGACTAGATCATGATGGTGGTCACTTCTGGCCTTAAATGTTTGTTAATTACCCCACATTCTTGTTGCAATATTCAATTTAATAGGTCCATGTCTCTATCTTTGGAGGAGAACTCTATCACTGCAATGTTCAGTGATCACTTAGTACTTGCAAGAGGGACTTTAGTCTGTGTCTCTTGCCAATTTTGGTTGGCCATGTTCCTGGAGGTTTCATCACATGACCTAATCTTTAAAGATTAATGTTTAGTTCCTGGAGACTCCCGGACAATCCTGGAGGGTTGGCAACCTTTACTCTGGTCCCAAATGGCTGTGCATAATAACAAGAGATTCACAGTGCCCCCATCCAAGCTCTCTGTCTGGGAAACTCAGCACATAAAGGCACAGTCCCCAATATCACAAATACTAACTGAATTCTGTTGCTCTTTAACCACACATGAGCATCTGCTACTTAAGATCATCCAACCCCTTTTGTATAACGAACAGGAATGGCAGATGTTCCTGTTAAATCTGAGAGGCGAACTAGTAATTACTTTCTCCATAACGCTGTCCTCTTTGTTTATAATATAAATTGCTGATCCTTTTCACTGAAGTGATACCAACTCTGTTCCCTGAATTCTACCCACCAGCAAGACTGCATGATCTCCCCCCAATAAAGGAGACCATGGTGAAGAGAGTTGCAATTATTGGAGCTGGCGTGAGTGGACTGACCTCCATCAAGTGCTGCCTGGATGAGGGGCTGGAGCCCACCTGCTTTGAGAGGAGTGATGACATCGGGGGTCTCTGGAGATTCACAGTAAGTGAGGGGGTTCGTTGCCTGTGGAGTGAGCTACACCTGTGCGTCCCAGGCCAGTAACCAGAAGAGACTATTCATTAACCAAAAAATGAAGTCAATCCAGCTCAACAGCAGCCTTAAACAGAACTTGTTTGTTCAAAGAATGGCAGTGTCCTGTTCAGACACTGGGGCGTGGCAGTCACCAGGCCTCTGTATTGGATGCAACCTTTGGATCCCGCATGCTCCCTAGCCCCCTAGGTTTGAGCAGCATTCAGACACAGTGCCAGGATGCAAACTCTCTGGCTAGCACCCTCCATGCTGCCCTAGGCCCCAAGACCAGTGCTGGCCCCCCTCACGTAGCTTATGCACACTCTCCCCAGAGTTCCGCCCGCATGGGCACTCGAGTTTAACCCTTTGGGGACATGTGACAGATAAAGTGAGGAATTTAGCCCTTGCGAAGGAACACCTTAAGCACACACACTTTACTCTCAGGGTATCTCTACACTGGAGCTGGAACTGTTATTTCCAGCTTGGGCAGACATACCTGCCCTTGCTCTGGGAGAGCTGGCGTACTAAAAATAGCAATGGAGAGGTGGTGCGTGAGCTGGGCTAGTCACCCAAGTATATACCTAGGGTCGTGGATGGGATCATACTCGGGGTGGCTAGCCCCTGTCCCCACTTCTGCCAACATGGCTAGATTGTTGTAATTCATGTGCTAGCTCAATCTGAGCTAGCATGGGTATGGGGATTACGCTCCCTGCCCTAGTGTAGACATACCCTTCGAACACATATGAGATACAGATCTATGGGAAAACAAGAAACACCTGAATATAATACCCTCCCTTGGCGACCTCAGCACTCTCTTTGGGGTTTGATCAGCAACCTTCAGGGGATAGAGCCCTCCAGCCTGCCCCTCCTCCTGCTCAGTTTTCTGCATCTAGCAATGAGCTCTTGCCTTCTTGTTAGGGAGCTTGTCTCTTTTAAAAGCAGGGCCTGACACCTCTTCCTGCTTCTCTTCTCATGCTGGGGCTTTTCCATTCCCTCTTTCTCCCCTGGGGGGCTGCTGGCAGTGGGCCATTGTCCCAATTTCAGACATGGTCTGTATTGTGCCACAAAACAAGTTTTATTCCACACTGAGGGTTAGAGTAGAAAATGGAGTTCATAGAATCAAATGGAAATCATAAACATACAGGGACATATTCCCAGCACTGTAACGGGGGCAGGGGAAGGGGGTTACATTAAGTAGGTCCTAAGTCTCTGCATCCCAGTCTATCCTTATTGTACAATGATACTTAGCATCTTCAACCGGCCATACTGGTAACTAATTAATCCTCAGAAGCCCCTTTGAGTTAGACAGCCACAGTGGATGTTGATCATTAGCAACTACTCATTTCACAGCAAAAAGCAGTTTACTGGCAACTTTTGAATAATGGCAAAAGTCCCATGCAAGCTGTGACAGCAGAGGCTGGGGCTTTCCGCAAGGGTGGGGGTGCTGGGGACTGGTGGGGCTGCACAGTACTTCCTCCTGCTCTCTTTGCCCTGCACCCTGCCCTGGCATCGGGGACTTGGACTCAGCAGGTCCCAGTGCTTCCTTCCCTGGCTGCAGCCCACAAATCTGCCTGCAGCCAGGGTTTTCCATGGACGGTGGGGATCCTTGGTGGCCCATGGGGCTGCACGGTATCTCCCAACCAGCTGTCTGGGTTGCAGACTCAAAGCCAGCAAATTCATTACAAGGGGAACGTCTCTTCCAAAAGAATTGTCAATAAGCAACAAGCCCGTTGCTAATATCTGAAAGTCGTTAACATTAAAGTGAAGGGGATGGGATCGGTTCTGAGGGAAAATGTTGCTAATAATCACAAGTTGTCTTTATCAAGCTTGCTAATAACCGGCATCCACTGTATTATTAACCCCACTTGATGGTGGAGAAACTGAGGCACAGAGAAGTTAAAATGTGCCCAAGGTCACACCAGTAAATTTTTGGCAGCTGAGGAATACAATTTTAAGAGCCCTGACTCCCTCGTCCCATGTTTGTTCTTCTAATCCACTCCCCCTCCTGGAAGTTCTTCCTAAAAAATGACTGGAGTTGGCAAAATGTCTTAAGAACTGCCTAGTAATTGGCCTGAGCAGCCGGTGTGACAAAGTGCCACGCAATGCAACAGCATTCAGCTGTGCAAGCCTAAGTGAAAACATCAGCAACAAATTTCCCAGTGTTTGAGTCCACTGTCTTTCACACTGTCCCTGTGTGAGAAGGGGAAAATCAGTGCTTTAATTCGCAGGGAATGCAGAAAACACTTCAGACACCCCTGTGTCTGGTGAAGCCACCCCCTTGAAGGCCCATAGGGACAAGAAAAGGAAGGTGGGAAGGACGGGAGTCACAGATGTCATCGTCCGTGTCCTCCCGCCCATAGTCTCAGGGACTTGATTATGTGGAACATGCTCAAATGTTCCCTCAGGATGTGTCTACACTGCAGTTACACACTGGTGGCTGGCCACTGTCAGCTGACTCGGGCTCATGGGGCTCAGGCTAAGGGGCTGTTTGATTGCAGTGTAGACATTCAGGCTCGGGCTGAAGCCCACGCTCTGGGACCCTCCCCTCTCATGGGGCCCCTGAGCCCGATCTTGAGCTCAAAGGTCTACACATCCCCTTAGCCAGAGCCCCACAAGCCTGAATCAGCTGGCACGGGCGAGCCATGGGGTTTTTAATTGCAGTGTAGAAATACCCTGGACTAGAATTCTTTGAAGGGGTCAAGAAGCATGTGTACCAAGGGGATTCAGTGGATATAGTGTACTTAGATTTTCAGAAAATCTTTGACAAAGTCCCTCACCAAAGGCTCTTATGCAAAGTAAGCTGCCATGGGATAAGAGGGAAGGTGCTTTCATGAATTGGTAACTGGTTAAAAGATAGGAAACAAAGGGTAGGTATAAATGGTCAGTTTTCAGAATAGAGAGGGATAACTAGTGGTGTCCCCCAGGGGTCTGTTCTGGGACCAGTCCTATTCAACATATTCATAAATGATCTAGAAAAAGGGGTAAAGAGTGAGGTGGCAAAACTTGCAGATGATACAAAATTACTAAAGATAGTTAAGACCCAGGCAGACTGCGAAGAGCTACAAAAGGATTTCTCAAAACTGGGTGACTGGGCAACAAAATGGCAGATGAAATTTAATGTTGATAAATGCAAAGTGATGCACATTGGAAAGCATAATCGCAACTATACATATAAAATGATGGAGTCTAAATTAGCGGTTACCACTCAAGAAAGAGAGCTTGGAGTCATTGTGGATAGTTCTCTGAAAACATCCACTCAATGTGCAGCGGCAGTCAAAAAAGCAAACAGAATGCTGGGAATCATTAAGAAAGGGATAGATCAGGGATCGGCAGTCTTTGGCACGCAGCTCACCAGGGTAAGCATCCTGGCGGGCCGGGCTGGTTTGTTTACCTGCCACGTCCGCAGGCTCGGCTGATCGCGGCTCCTACTGGCCATGGTTCGCCGCTCCAGGCCAATGGGGGCTGCGGGAAGCAGCGGCCAGCACATCCCTCGGCCCGCGCTGCTTCCCGCCGCCCCCATTGGCCTGGAGCGGCAAACCATGGCCAGTAGGAGCCGCGATCAGCCGAACCTGCGGACGCGGCAGATAAACAAACTGGCCCGGCCCGCCAGGGTGCTTACCATGGCGAGCCGCGTGCCAAAGGTTTCCGATCCCTAGGATAGATAATAGGACAGAAAATATCATGTTGCCTCTATATAAATTCATGGTACGCCCACATCTTGAATACTGCATACAGATGTGGTTGCCCCATCTCAAAAAAGATATATTGAAATTGGAAAAGGTTCAGAAAAGGGCAACAAAAATGATTAGGGGGTATGGAACGGCTTCCATATGAGGAGAGATTAATAAGACTGGGACTTTTCAGCTTGGAAAAGAGACGACTAAGGGGAGAGATGATTGAGATCTATAAAATCATGACTGGTGTAGAAAAAGTAGATAAGGAAGTGCTGTTTACTGCTTCTCATAACACAAGAACTAGGGATCACCAAATGAAATTAATAGGCAGCAGGCTGAAAACAAATAAAAAGAAGTATTTCTTCACACAGCACACAGTCAACCTGTGATGTTGCCAGAGGATGTTGTGAAGGCCAAGACCATAACAGGGTTCAAAAAAGAACTAGATAAATTCATGGAGGATAGGTCCATCAGTGGCTATTAACTAGGATGGGCAGGAATGGTGTCTGTAGCCTCTGTTTGCCAGAAGCTGGGAATGAGCGACAGGGAATGGATCACTAAATGATTATCTGTTCTGTTCATTCCCCCTGGGGCACCTGGCACTGGCCACTGTCGGAAGACAGGATACTGGGCTAGATGGACCTTTGGTCTGACTCAGTAGGGCCATTCTTATGTTCTTACCCTCTGTGCCCCAGAGATAGGGGAAACAGCCCTTAAGGTTGCTGTCAATGTGCCACGATGGAACGTTCCTTCCCAACATCAAGGCTCAGGTGGTAGGTGCTGCAGCCACAGCGGCAGTAGGACGGCGGAAACATGCATTCTGGAGGAGGCATTCTGCCCATGGAGTGGTGATGCGGGCAGAGTGCCACCACGGACACAGCTATAATAAAAGGCTGTAGAATGGTCTCCTACCAGAGTGCTAACTGATGTGGAAGGGAAGAGGGCCCTGGCCTCAGATGACTCATCTAGCAGTGCTCCAGAGGCAGTGCTCCCTCTCGGGTGTCTAGTGCTTCCCTCTGCACTGGGCCCTTAGGGAATGCTGGTGTTGACGTCCCCCCTGCCCTCTGTGCAGCTGCACAAGGCAGAGGAAAGGGGCTCTGCTGTTGCCCCTCCATGACATTTGTGCAGAGATCAGCTGTGATTTGGCCCCAGATAAAGAGATCAGTTTAATTATGTTGTAAGTGCAACAGCCTGGGCCAAATTCTAATTCCTAATCTTGTCTGTGTCCCGCCATGAGTGGAAACCAAACGCTATGAACAAAAAGGGGTTGATAGGCATATTCTCTCCCTGGCTGCATGTGCAGAATGCATTCACTCTTCCCTGTGACACTGTGCTGATAGGAACATGTTGAAGATGGGAGGCCCAGCCTTTACAAATCCATGGTCAGTAACACCTGCAAGGAGATGTCGGCCTTCACAGACTTCCCGTATCCTGAGGATTTTCCAGTCTTTCTGTCCAACTCCCAAGTCCTGGAGTATCTCAGGATGTATGCCAAGCATTTTGGCCTTCTGAAGCACATCCAGTTCAAGGTGAGCTATAAAATGTAGCGGCTGGTCCACATGAGAGGATAACAGTCTACCAGAGCTGCCAGCTGATGGAGTAACTTCTTCACGTAAGCAGTCTAGGCTCATGCTTTTGGCACTGAAAGTGCTGAGCTTGGGTGGTGTCAGACAAGGATCATAGGAATCATACACCTCTCCGAGGCAGGCTATTTAATATGTATAATTTGTATTGTGGTGCCTATGAGCCCCACCCAGACCAGAGGCCAGATTTCTAAAGGTATTTAGGTGCCTAAAGATGCAGAGGCATCTAATGGGATTTTTCTAAAGCATCATGGTACCTAACTCCCACTGAAATCAACAGGAGTTAGGCACTTCTGAAAACCCCACTAGGTGCCAATCTGCATCCTCAGGTGCCTAAATACCCTTGAAAATGTGGTCCAGGGCCCTGCTGTGATAGGCGCTATACAAACATACAACAAAAAGACAGTCCCTGCCCCAAGGAACTTACAATCAGAGTTGGCTGAAAAATGGAAGCCCCTCCTCACAAAAAATGTGATGACTTTGGGGAGGGGGAAGTCCCAAACTGGGACAAAATGTCAGAAATGCAATTTTTTATTGTTGTTATGTTGCAGGAAGAGTTTTCAAGAAAAAAATCAATTTCAGAACTGAAAACTTTGCAGCTTCCCAGCTGACCATCTGGAAGACTCTTGTCAATTTCACTTGACATTAACAAGACACCTCCCCTGGGCATGTAAAAGAACCCAGCCACTCAGCCTCCATCTCTGGCTCCCAGAACTGCGGGGTGGGGGAGAAGCAGGGAGGCAAAGCGCCTGGACTCTGCCTCCGCAGCCCTCCAGGAAAGCTTGTCTCTTTTACTGTCAAAAGGTTAAATTGATAAGAGCATTCCAGGCGGGCAGCCAGGAGGCTGTCATAAAAATTTTCCCAACAGAAAATCAATTTTTTTCTGCAAAATGGAAACTTTCTCATGGACAATTCTGGTTTTGCGAAAGTGGCAAATTTTGACCAGCTCTACTCACGGTTTAAATAAATCTTCCCCCAGGCCAAAGTCAGGTCTGTCCCCCTCCCATCTGGAAAATGGTCCAGCAAATTTTCCCAAACACACATTGTCATAGACTGTTTTCTCTACTTATATTTGTTACACTCAGATCTCATGCTGATGGACGATATTTGTTTGGTTCAATGTTTCAGACCACAGTCATCAGTGTAAGGAAATGCCCAGATTTCTCTGCCACTGGCCAGTGGGCTATTGTCACGGAGTCTAATGGGAAGCAGGAGTCATCTGTCTTTGATGCTGTTATGGTTTGCATTGGCTATCTCTCTGATCCATCCCTGCCGCTGGAGTCTTTTCCTGGTACAGGATGTCTTGTGTTTACTATTAAGCATTTCTGTGTTTGGCGAGAAGACTAACAAATCCACAGATGGAAACATTTTTGTTTCCATGTTCTAATTTCCTGGATCTGGCGACTGCCGTCATATTGACATGCGTAATTAGGGAAAAGCTTTCGTTTTCCAGCTGTCCCTTTTTCAGGTCTGGCTAATTGATAGGCATGCTTCCAAGGGACAAGATTATTTCTCTTGAGAAGGCTATTCAGAGAAGCTGGCTGCACTAACAAGTTAGAAAGCGTGTTATTGGTGTGGGTTAGGGCAACAAAAAAAGCACTGGGCCAAATTTATCTGTGGTGAAAGTAGACAAAGCTTCTGTGGAGTTGCACCTGATTACAGCAGCATTTGAATTTGGCCCATAATTCCCAGACAGAAGTTGTAGGCCTTTCCCTAATCTTTCACCACCATTTAATTTTGTCAAGTGCTTCTCAAGAATGAGGAGGAAAGGATCACAGCAGGTTTTGCTGTTTTTTTGGTTGTTGTTTTTTTTTTAAATAACCTGGGCTCTCCCAATTGGTGTTTTAAACACAGCCGTCTCTCTGGACCACCAGGAGGAACTGGCTGTTGCTCTGTGCTACCATCAGAGTTTTTAAACATTGGCTGCAGTTACATTATCTCAGATTTTCTAACCACAGAGCTCACTTTGGAGGGGAAGGAATGGACAACAAAGTTTCCAGTGGTATATTCCTAAAGGGGTTGCAGTGGGACTAGGGTCCCGTCACCAAATCATTGCTGGCCATGGGTTAGAATGTCTTATTTATTTCTGAACCAGTTGCCCTTACAAGCATAGTTCTACAGTAGGTCTAGTGTGATTGTCTAGAATACTGTAGTGCTGTCAGGTCTCTATTGTAGCACTTTTTTAAAGGTATAGTAACCCCAGCACTGTTAGTTACACTTACACACACACACACACACACACACTCAGAACCATACAAATCACTTTAAAATATTCGGGGCCCAATCCTGTTTGCTTTACTCATTGCTGGGGGCTGAGGGATCAGGAGGTGGTAGTTCCTTCTCTCCCCTGCTCCAGTCATAGATTCCCTGATCAGAAGGGTCCATTTTGATCATTTAGCCTGACCTCCTGTATAGCACCAGCCAGAAAACTTCCCCAACATAATTCCTAGGGAAACATCCACTCTTGATTTAAAGACTGCCAGTGATGGAGACTCCACCATGACTCTTGGTGATTCTCCTAGTTCTGGTTTCTGTGGGAGGAGGAGGAGCGGGGTGAGGACAGTTCTATCTGCTTTCTCCTCCTTGGCTCTGCTGACGACCGTGTCTGCAGGGCAAGGAGGGGAGAGCCTGTCTATCACTTTTCATTGAGTTCAAGGCCAAAAGGGTCATGTAGTCTGACCTCCTGCATCATACAGGCCATGGAACCTCTCCCAGACACTGTCTGCACCAGCCCATCACTTGAATTGGAACTAGAACCTCCCTTTTAGAAAGGTGTCCAGTCTGCATAGGAAGATTCCAAGTATGGGAGAATCTACCGTATCCCTAAAGAAGTCACTCCATTTCTCTGACTGGGCCTTAGGAATTAGGTCCCCTCCCCTCTTCAGGAGCAAGTCTCCAAGAAAGGGCAAAGATTAAGGTTACAAGGACCATTTATCCCCTGAAAAATATAATAGCAACAAGACAAATCGTGAGGTGATTTTTTTTCTGTCCTCACTACCAAAACACACCTCCCATTAACACCAATGGACTCCGGGATATGGCCTGGAATTATAATTGACTATTATTTAAGTGATATTTGCCAGATACCCTTCCCCTCTTCCTCACAGGGATAGAGACATTTCAAGGCGAGTACTTTCACAGCCGCTATTACAAGCATCCAGATGTGTTTGAGGGGAAGAAAGTCCTTGTGATTGGCATGGGGAATTCTGGAGTGGATATCGCCATTGAGGCCAGTCGTGTAGCTAAAAAGGTACAGTTCTTCCAGCTCCTTTCAAACCTGCAGGAAGGGTGATGTTAATTTTTGTTATATGCAGCGATGGGCAGCAATGAAGCCATTTAGAAGCCACACAGAGCGAACTGTCAGGAGAAAGGAGCTGAGAACCTGATTCTAGAGCAGAGGTCCTCAAACTGTGGGGGTGCGGCGGAACCTTGGGGGGGCATGGCAGGGCCTGGACCAGCCCCCACAGTGGGTGGGGAGGAAGTGCTACCCAGCCCGTCCCCACCCCCAGCTCTGCTCCGGTCCCGCCCGCAGCTGCATCCTGGGCTTCTAGCCCTGCCCCCACCGCAGCCCAACTGCAGCTCAGCCCCCAGCTTCAGTCCCTGGCCTCTGCTCTGGCCCTGCTCCCGGCCCCAGACCCATCCCCAGCTGCAGCCCTACCCTCAACCCTCTTACCCCTGTCCACGTCCCCCACCCCTGAGCTGCAGGCTTGCTCCCGGACCCAGGGGGGTGCGGATGGGGGTAACCCTCAAATTTGGGGACCACTGTTCTAGAGGTTATTTCCACAGAATGGGAATATTGCTTTTTCAGAGACCCATAAGGCAAAGAAAAGTGCTACCAGACCCAACAGTCTAGTCCTTTAACATAACCCAACAGTGTCTTTATGGCATTGTGGTCTCCGAGGTTGCAGCAGTTGGACTGAGGAGTCAAAGGTGGCTTTGTCCTACCCCTACACCTCCCTCTCACAATTCTGAGAGACCTCGAAGTCTTTGCTCATTGGCTAGCTGGGTAAAGTCAGGGGACGATCCTTGTCTGGGATTAGTTTCATAAATGCAAGGAAAGCAATTCACCCTCCAAAGCTTTGCTGCTCTGTTGTCTTCTAGGTGATGATCAGCACTGGCCGAGGTGCGTGGGTGATCAGTCGGGTGTTTGACAATGGTTACCCATGGGACATGGTCTTCCTAACTCGTTTCATGAATGTGATCCGGAATTCCCTCCCTGGGCCCATTACAACGTGGCTGGTTGCGCACAGGACGAGTCAGTGGTTTGACCATGCAAACTACGGCCTGATACCTAAGGACAGGTATATCCTGCGTTTCTGTTCCATGTGGTGGTATATTGGTTACTGAGTTAGAGAAGGAAGAGGAAAGTGCACCTAGCTAATGACGTACAATGTGTTAGAGGAGCAATGCAAACCCACATGTCGAGGGTTTAACTAGGGTTACCAACTTTCTGATCACACAAAACCAAACACCCCTGCCCTGCCCCTTCCCTGAGGCCCTGCCTCTGCCCCGCCCCTTCTCCAAGGCCCTGCCTCCGCTCACTCCATTTCCCCCCCCCCCATCGCTCACTCTCCCCCACCCTCATTCACTTGCTTATTTTCACCAGGCTGGGGAAGGGGGTTGGGGTGCGGAAGGGGGATGAGGGCTCTGGTGTGGGGCCAGAAATGAGAGGTTCAGGGTGTGGGAGGGGGCTCCTGGCTGGGGTAGGGGATGCAGGGGGGGTGCAGGTTCCAGGAGGGAGTTTGGGTGCAGGAGGGGCTCCAAGCTGGGGCACGGGGTTGGGATGCAGGAGAGGGGATGGGGCAGGTTTGGGGAGGGGACCCTGGGCTGGGGCAGGGAGTGGGGGTGCAGGAGTGGGTGTGGGGAGTGGACTCTGGGTGGTGCTGACCTCGGGGGGCTCCCCGGAAGCGGCGACATGTCCCTCGGCTCCTAGGTAGAGGGGCCAGGCAGCTCTGTGCAGTGCACACTGCCTCCACACACAAATGCCACCCCCACAGCGCCCATTGGCCACATTTCTCAGCCAATGAGAGCTGCAGAGCCTGTGCTTGGGGAAGGGCAGGGACAGCATATGGAGCCCCCGTGGCTGCGCCTCCGCCCAGGAGCTGAGGGACATGTCGCCACTTCCAGGAGCCGTGCGGAGCCAGGTAGGGAGCCTGCCAGCCCCACCAACCAGACTTTTAATGGCCCGGTCAGCAGTGCTGACCGGAGCCATCAGGGTTCCTTTTCGACCGGGGTTCTGGTTGAAAACCAGACACCTGGCAACCCTAGGTGTAACATAGGAATGTATAAATCTACACCAGAAAGCAGGGTTAGGGATGTTGATCAGCTAGGTTTTCATAGGACAGCTGAAGAAGCGGGTCTCCTGGCCTGCTCTGTGTAGAGGAGGGGAACACTAGCATTGTACAGTCCCAGGCAGGAGTGCTGGAATGGGGGGGGCCCGGGGAGCCATGGCCCTCCCACTTATTACCGGCCATAGGGAGAGTGATGTGGGGGGAGGGGTGGAGACAAGTGAGTAGGGGGGCGAGGTCTTGGGGGAAGAGGTGGCATGGGAGCGGGGCCTCAGGGGGGAAGGGGAGGCACACAGGAGCAGGACCTCAGGGGGGTAGGGGTGGCACGTGATAGGGAGCTTTGGGGGGGGGAAGGGGCAGCACACAGGAGCGGGGTCTCATGGGAGGAGGAAGGGGCGGCGCAGGGGGCCAGGCCATGGTTCAGGCACCAATGGCCCCCACTTTTAGGGACCTTCTGCCACTCCTGTGGCCAGGAGCTAGTCCTACCCACTAAGCTTTCATTATGTAGAGACTCATAAAGAGTCAGACAGTTTTTGAAGTGTGTTTCTGCTCTGAAAAGTGACTCTGTAAAAGTACTGTGCGTGAATTGACCAGAACCCAGGGGAGGTGGCAGTGATGTTTGTGTGAATAAAGCAGGTTGCAGGAGGGGTGACTTTAATTAAAGACTTCAAGACCCTGGAGCCTCGTTTGGAGTTGGGTGGGAAACGGGACCCTGCTTTCCCATTTCTGAGTCTTCCAGGTCAGAGTTCATTCTCCAGCTCTTTGCTGAAGCACATGGGGTTGCCTTGGCTGCCCCAGCATTCTGATTGTGTTTCTGTTTGTTTCAATGCAGAGATGTGATACGGGAGCCTGTGCTGAATGATGACCTTCCAGGCTGTATCATCACTGGGAAAATCACCATAAAACCGAGTCTGAAGGAGATCAAGGAAAACTCAGTCGTGTTTCAAAATAGCCCCACGGAGGAGCCTGTTGACGTCATCGTCTTTGCCACAGGATACAAGTTCTCCTTCCCTTTCCTTGAGGAATCTGTTGTCAAAGTCGAAAAGAAGCAGGCATCCCTGTACAAATATATCTTCCCACCTCATCTGGAGAAGCCAACCCTGGCCGTCGTTGGCCTCATCAAGCCATTTGGTGCAGTCATGCCAGTTGTAGAAATTCAAGCTCGCTGGGTCACACGAGTCTTTAACGGTAGGTGGAGCAGGAAGGTTAGTATGACGTGAGCACTTCCTCAAAGAAAAAGGCAGTGTTTCAGACACAGGTGGTGAGCGAGTTGGTATGTCGCCCCACCGCGACGCAGACCACAAAGGGATTCATCCAGGACTAGGAAAGGTGGTGCTCATAGACTGGTATCTAAATTGGGTTGCTCCGCACTTTACCGTCTTACAGAACATTTTACAACCCAGTGACATCCTTACTACATGAACAAGCGAAATACTCCAAGAACCATCTTGGAAATATTGAGCTGGATCTGTCTGAACAGAATTTCGAAGCCTTGTTTTTTCCTCTAGGATACAGGTAACTCCCCTTGAAGAAGAGGGGAGTTTATTTGTATTCAGTGGCGAGAAAAGAGGGGCCCTGTGTTTGTAACAATTGGGAAGCCATGACACGAGCACTCACATCAGTTCCTTGTGGATGGTGCAGAGGCCACACTCACTGTAGAGTTTCAGGAGGCATTGTTGTCCCCTTGAGGCGCAATGCTCCCGAGAGCTCCCCCTGGGTTTGTGCAGCTCATCATAGCCCTCACCACAGTTCTGGGCCTTAAAGGCAATTCCTGACCCACTGATAGGCAGCTATCTCCCTTTAGGGGCAGGAAAAATGGAATAGCTTTTGCATTACCAGGCAGAGCTGGTAATAAACAGGATTCCCCACTGCTGCACTAAGACCAGGCAGAATCCAGCAGCTGGTTCGTCCTTGTCTCTTGGAGGGAGGCAGTTTCTCAGCACCAGAGAGAACAGTGTTACACTCAGGACAACCTGGGGCCTGATTTTGATCTCACATCCACTCGTTCCATGCCAGTGTTGCTCCTTTGGGGAAGCTCCTGATCTCAATTATACCAGTGTAATTTCAGAGTAAATGCCATGGACATTAACAGGGTTACTCCAAAATCACACTGTGTGACTGAAATCATGTTCTGGTCCCTGGTTCCTACAGATGAGGATTCAAATCCCAGTCATCAGGGAAAGAGTCTCCAAAGCAGTGGCTAGACTAGACTAGAGGAGGTTGTTAGAAGGCACTAGCTAACACGTTCCAACTAACATGTTTGAGAAGTCTGGTGCAGACAAAGCCCTGGTGATACCGGTAGTCTATGGCAATGGTTCTCAAGCAGAGGTTCACAGATCTTCCAGGGGGTACTCAACTCATCTAAATCAGTGTTTCTCAACCCGGGGGGTGCAACCTTTAGGGGGGTTATAGGACAGGTTTGGGGGGATTGCAGGTGCAGGGCCAGCATTAGGAGGTGGCAAGCAAGGCAGTTGCTCAGGGCCCCATGCCACAAAGGGCTCCATGAAGCTCAGTTACATGCATCAGTCTCACCACCTGGGGCTTGGGCATCAGCCCTGCCACTTGGGGCTAGGATGTCAGACAAGGCTCACAAGTGAAAAACACACTGAAGTGTAAGTACAATATTTATATTCCAGTCAATTTATTTTATAATTATATGATCAAAATGAGAAAGTGAGCAATTTTTCAGTAATAGGATGCTGTGACACTTTTGTGTTTTTATGTTTGATTTTGTCAGCAAGTAGTTTTTAAGTGAGGTGAAATTTGGGGGGTATGAACTTCCTGAAAAGGGTACAATAGTCTGGAAAAGTTGAGAGCCACTGGGCTAGGGGGAAACTAAGCTTCAGCCAGTTTAGTTCTTGTAGACCAATCAGTGTAGATTTGAACAGTAGACTTCTCAAGCATGTTCATAGATTCAAAGAGTTTAAGTCCAGAAGAGATGTTAGATGAGCCAGTCCAACCTCCTGTATAGCACAGGCCTTAAATTTCAACCCCACCCCCATATTGAGTTCAATAACATGTGTTTGGCTAAAGCATCTCTTCCAGAAGGGCATCCAGTCTTGATCTGAAGACATCAAGAAATAAAGAATCCACCATTTCCCTTTTGTTTGTTCCAATGGTTACTCACCCTCAGTGCTAAAATATTGCCTTATATCTAATTGGAATTTGTCTGGCTTCAGCTTTCTCCCAGAAGGTTAGAGAGCACCTCTTTAAATCCTAGTCTAGACAAGGTGTAAGAGTGGGTGTGATTTGAGATGATTCATTAGAACAATTAGGCCACTTGTCCAACTGACAAGCCATGAGTTCTCTCTCCTTCGGGGACCAGGAGCCAGGGTTTCCAATCCAAGAACAAGCTCCAAATGACTCAGGCCTTGTCTACACACAAATTGGCACCAGTTTAGCTAAATGGGCATAAACACCTGTGTGGATGCTCTTATTTCCGTGGCTTATTTCAGCTTCGTTTAAATCTGCTCCTAACTGAAGTAAGCTAAATTGAAATAAGCCTGGTTTAAGCTGAAATAAGAGTGTCCACACCAGCCTTTTCACCAGTGTAACTAAATTGGTTTAAAATCCCACCTGAAGTTGAACAGGTCCACCACTTCATGACAACAATCCCTTTTCTGGTTTCTAGGCTTGTGTCAGCTGCCTCCAGTGAGCACCATGGTGGAAGAGATCAACGAGACGAAGAAAAACAAAATTCGCTGGTAAGCCATGTCACCTAATGCAAAAGACTTTGAGACAGATTTAAAAACCCCTGAACTCTGGGAGGTATCAGCATGCAGTTCCAAATTTGGCAGCTGTTCCCTTTCTCTTTATAGGGGTGTCTAAAATCCAGATGTGGATTCAATTAGTCTACTATATCTAGTGTGTTTGAAGTCCATCTTTTAGCTAGCGGCTATATAATTATACAGGAAGTTTGGAATATCTATTCAAAGAAACCCACTGATGATCAAGCAGAATAACTGCAAACGGGACTGAATTTCAATGGCATCTCCTCTGTTTTACCTATTGATCAGAATGACATCCCTCCCCCTTCTTTTCTGATTCATTAAGGTTCGGTTTGTCCTATGATGAGATCCTGAAAACTGATTGCCTCGTGTATATTGACGAACTTGCCTCCTTGATCGGCACAAAACCCAGTGTGCTGGCTCTGCTCTTCAAAGATCCAATCCTGGCCATGAAAGTTTTCTTTGGTCCATGCACAGCATACCAATACCGCCTGACTGGGCCGGGGAAGTGGGATGGAGCCAGAAATGCCATTCTGACCCAGTGGGAGCGGACAGTGAAGCCCACGAGAACACGAGTTGTAGAGGAGCCTCCAAACTTCTGTTTCAATTTGCTTAAACTAATCGGCCTTTTTGCTCTCTTCGCTGCAATTTTTCTTGGTTTCAAGTAGTCCTGGTGTGATGTACAGCCTGCGTGTATAAATCTTTTCTGGCTAGACAATATCTCTATATGGGGAGGCAGGAAAGCAATACATACAAAGGTCCTGTAAGAACAGAAGGTTTTCTAAATCAAACTTTAACCAATGTCACAAAAACATTTCTCCTCTAACTAAACTACACACCAAGATTTGTCTACCTGAGACCATTGCACAAATTTAACTAAATGTGTGATGGTAAACTGGTGCAGGCCCCTGTGTGGACACTCATTTCTTTTAAAAGTGATTTATTTAGGGCTAGCTTAAATCGGATAGGAATAGGCGTCTGGGAAAGAGATGCTTTAGCTCAGCCGGAAGCTGTGGGCGTGATTCAGGAATCAGTAGATGGGATTCTTTGGCCTGTGCTACGCAGGAGGTCTGGCTAGGAGACCATAATTGTCTCTTCTCCCCTAACATTGACATTTGTCAGATAAAGGAATGGGAAATGTAAAGTCCCTGGGCTTTAATAATCAGTTGTTAAAATTGCAAGGCTCCACACCTGCAAGGCGCTGAGATTCCTCAAATCTCTCTGGAGTTAGTTGGCATCAAGGGTGTTCAGCATCTGTGACGGATTGAATCACAGAAACCCCCTTGGGAACTGCCAACTGATGTGCCAAGACTACTTCTGCCCCTGCTTTCCCTGCCAGTCTGGGACTCCAGCACCTTGTCTTGTTGAGCCAGACACACCAGTCTGCTCCCACACAGACCCAGGGTCTGAACCACGTGCCCCAAAGCTGCAGACTTAACTGAAAGCAACTTACAGAAGTGTTCCTGTCTTTACCACTCAGATGCCCAACTCCCAATGGGGTCTAAACCCCAAATAAATTAGTTTTACCCTGTATGAAGCTTATCCTGGGTAAACTCATAAATTGTTTGCCCTCTATAACACTGATAGAGAGATATGCACAGCTGTTTGCCGCCCCCCCCCAGGTATTAATACAAGCTCTGGGTTAATTAATAAGTAAATAGTGGTTTTATTAAATACAAGAAGTAGGATTTAAGTGGTTCCAAGTAGTAACAGACAGAACAAAATGAATTACCAAGTAAAATAAAATAAAACACGCAAATCTAAGTCTAATACACTAATAAAACTGAATACAGATAAAATCTCATCCTCAGAGATGTTTCAATAAGTTTCTTTCACAGACTGGACATCTTCCTAGTCAGGGCACAATCCTTTCCCCTGGTACAGCCCTTGTTCCAGCTCAGGTGGTAGCTAGGGGATTTCTCATGATGATTCCCCCCTTTTCTCTGTTTCACCCACTTATATAGATTTGCATAAGGCAGGAATCCTTTGTCCCTCTGGGTTCCCACCCTCTCCCCTTCTCAATGGAAAAGCACCAGGTTAAAGATGGATTCCAGTTCAGGTGACATGATCACATGTCACTGTAAGACTTCATCACCCACTTACCAGCACACAGGTATACAGGAAGACTCACAAGTAAAACAGAGCCATCTACAGACAATTGTCCTGGTTAATAGGAGCCATCAAGATTCCAAACCACCATTAATCACCCACACTTTGCATAATTACAATAGACCCTCAGAGTTATATTTTATATTTCTAGTTTCAGATACAAGAGTGATACATTTATACAACGAGGATGACCACACTCAGATTATAAGCTTTGTAATGATACCTTACAAGAGACCTTTTGCATGAAGCATATTCCAGTTACATTATATTCATACGCATCAGCATACGTTCATACAATCATATAGAATGCAACGTCACACACCTCACAGGGAAAAATCCTTGGTTATTTGCTTTTGAGGCCGGGCTAGTTAACTGGCAGACTCATCCATATGGCAATGATGATTGCTCCTGTCTGTGGCTGTGCTGCTCTTTCTGGAAGTCTTGGGTGCTGAAGATCGTGTGCAGTTGGCTCAGTTCTGTTCCTTTATTAACAATCTCTTTAAAGTAATAAACACGTCAGCTCTTCCAGAGGGTTTGCTTTGAATTTATTGAGTTGGTTGCCTTGCCAGTTCTTATGTGTGTTTGCTTTGTGTGAGAACGGATGGTCCAGGGGCTAGGCTGGGATTTGGGAAACCCAGACTCAATTCCCTCCTCTGCTTGGGTTCAAGTCCTTCCTCAGACTTCCTGTGTGACCTTGGGAAGCCTCTCTCTGCCTCAGTTCCCCATCTGTACAATGGAGATAATAACACTTCCTGGCCTCATAGTGGCTTGGGGAGGAAAATACAGGGAAGACTGTGAAGTGCTCAGATGCTACAGCAATGGATGTCATTTAAGTACCTTAGATAGATTACTACAGGCTGTAGCATTAGCCCTTGGAACTTGTGGGTTCTTTGTTTTGTTTTGGCTGCCGTAGACAACCCCTCATAATTTAGACAAGATTGTCATTTAGGGTATGTATACCCGGGAAGGTGTCATCATGCTTTTTGCATTGTCATCGCTATATTGATCCCAGGATATGAGAGAGACAAAGCGGGGGAGGTAATATCTTTTATTGCACCAGCTTCTATTGGTGAAAGAGACAAGCTTTCAAGCAACATGGAGCTCTTCTCTGTGTAACTCGAAAGCATGTCTCTATCACCACCAGAAACTGGTGCAATAAAAGATATTAGCTCACACCTACCTTATCTTAGTGGTGCTTTAACATGTGTTAGCTCCTATAGTTGTAAGTTCTAGTGTGGACAATACATAAATGTTTGTGGCGTTGTGACCAAAAATTCAAGGGTGTACGTCCCTGGATGGCTACGTTTCAGCTGTCAAGTGGAGTGTATTTGTGGAGAGGAGCCACACCAAGTGGGAATGACCCAGCCAGAATTCCTCTAAACCACAGTCTTTTTTCATAGGGGTGCAGTCTATAAATTTTCCTTCCTCTCACCCTCACCCTGATGCAGGTTTGCTGGCCAGTATAGATGGAGGTGGGGCCACGGGCCTTCTCTCACCCCAGCTGCAAGGGAGTGAGGGCATGCACATTGTGACTTCACTTTTCCCTTCCCCCAGCCACAATCTGGCCTTAAATATTTTGCAGACCCAAGCAACCACCTGATCTGCCTGCATGGCTCAGTCGTCTTGGTTACTATGGTTAGCCATTCAGAATTAGTGCATTTTTCTTTTTTTCTTGAGAGCGAATAGGAATGCATTTGAATTTCAATGCTACACAGATGTGGGGAGGGCAGGGCCAGTGCTACTATTTAGGCCAACTAGGCGGTTGCCTAGGGCACCAAGATTTAGGGGCGCCAAAAAGTGCTTTTTTTTTTTTTAATTTTTCTTTTAACAGCGGCCGCTGCGCTGGGAGGGAGAGGGAGTCTGAGCCGCCGGCAGGCAGCCCAGGGGTTCCCCTGGGTCAGCGCACCGCCGGCAGCCCAGGGGTTCCTCTGGGTCAGAGCTGCCGCACGGATCCCCGGGCCGGGGGGTGGGGAGCTGCTGCAGGGGGGCGCATCAGGGCGGGGGGGGGGGGCCCGCCGGGGGGGGGGGGGCCCCGGGGGGGGGGGGGGGGGGGCGCTGCCGCGGGGCGGGGGGGGGGCGCAAGGTGGAAGTGCGAAACTTCCTTGCACCAGCCCTGGGGGAGGGAGGGTGTAAAGGTCAATGGAGCTGAGGAATGAGAGTGAGCTGTAACCGTCTGGACTTTACTCTCTCATGTAATCTGTAACCAGACAAACTTCACCCAAAACCCAGTCGAATCCAAAACAAAAAAGACACCACATTGAACCAGAAAGGTGAGTTTCTTTACTTAGAGTCCTTATTCCCGACTGCATTTTTCATGCTTTCAACAATCAATCTGCAAACTTGGCGTGTGTCCAGAACCCCAGGGAGGACTGTGATTGGCAAGTGTGAAAGAAAGGTATGATAGGGAAATGTTATGCCTTTGTTTGAAAACTACTTGTTGCACACATACAGAGCAGCATTTCTGTATTAATTCCATCATGTGCTGAAAGCACACATCCAGAAGCGTACTTTTTGCTATGACTTTGGATAAATGTAAGTAGCCTTTTTTCTTTTTCTTCTTCTTTGTTACAGCTTCTGTTCATAAAAGAGAGACAAGACGGGTGAGGCAGTATCTTTTATTGCAGCAAGTTTTGTACGTGGCAGGGACAAGCTTTCGAGCTTCATGGAGCACTTCTGCAGGGCACTTATATTCTTAAAATGACATTTACTGATATAGTTTATAATACATATGTGTGTAGCTAAAGTTGTATACAAAATATGGAGTAAAATAAGTCCCATTTTCAAAAGTGACTCAGACACTTAGGAGCCCAAGTTCCATTGACTTTCAATCAGATTTAGGCTCCTAAGTACCTACATTCATTTTGAAAATGGGACTCAGTAAAATTGTTCAAAGTGGCCATAGTTCCTATGAAACAAGAAGTAATTAAAATTGTAGGTAGTTTTCCTTTATGTGCTCCATTTTTTTTTAAATTGGCTTTCTAACTTTCTGGATAGAAAAGTAATAAACTTCCTCCTGAATTTTCTCATGATGTCTCAGATTGGGGAATTTGCTTACCAAGCATCAAATAAATCATTCTACTTCTTATCTCCCTCCAACTGTTGATTGAACTAACCAATTGGTTTGACACCTGGGAAGCTTACAATAGGGTATGAGACTTTGTCTTTTACTGAGTATTTGGAAAGTGCTGGATTACAGATATTTATTTGCTACGTAAGCAAAAATTACCCATTTTAAATGTTTTTGCCCCCACAAGGTCTTTTGCTTATTGCTTTATTGGGTGCCTTAACAGAAACCCAAACAATTGAGAACATGGAAATGTACAGTTTTATTTCATCTTAACTCTGAATTTCCTGGGTTTCTAATGTTTGGGGCTTTTTTGTAATAATGGCAATATTCTTGCCATGTTACTTAATCTTTAAATCACTGATACATTCTCTCATCCTTTGCCGCGGCTTAACAGTTTTATTGCCTGGCCTTCACTTAAAGGTCTCTAGGATGGAGCAGTCCAGCACTGGGTCAGTATGGCACTATGTGAGTCCTTACTTTAAAGACACATCCTTAGCCATACTCACGCAGCAGCACAAAGCAGCCTTAAACCTGGCTTAAAGGGTCAGGGGCTGATTCCTCCAGCATTGGGGAACCTCCAGTAGTGCAGGTGGTAGCAGCTCCAGTGCTGTCCCTAGTACCATGGAGCAGAGGGTGTGGCTATGGTAAACAGGAGGGGCTATCCCCTGCCAATCAGTACAGCTCCTTGGGGCTATGAGTAGGCTTTGGGACACTTTATTTAAATAATGGTTTATTGGATATGGGATTTTTTTTTAAATGAACAAATTAAAAAATCCAGCCGCATGATGGGAAGAGGCTTTGGGACTACAAGGCTAATAAAAAAGCCAGGCTGTTGCAACCAGGGGCCCTCCACTTCCTGTGCTTTGCACTTTCCTCCACTTCCTTGTACCTGTGTACACCAGCATTCAACTCTCTCGGCCTAAGGCAAGGCATTATGCTGCAGGAACAGCATCGGGGAACCCCACAAAGGCTTGCTGGTGGCCCACCAGGTGAGAAACACTGTGCTATGGGGTGTAGTCCTAGCAGAAAATTAATAACTGGGTTTAATGAGAGCTGCAGTGAACTGCACCTGCTGGAGGAAAAGTGCTCAGCTACTCAAATAACTCCATCCTGCACAAATCGCTGCAGACGCAGTCAATGAAGCTCCAGTAAGAAGCATTATGGTATCAGAAGCTCTCCATTTGCTGACCATACCATGAGGGCAGAGATAAGACGAGTCCCTATGTTTGGATTCAGTCTGCCCAAATGTCAGGGGTTTGGTTTGGCCTGTTATAGAGAGGAGTTACCCACCAAGGTCTGATTCAGATCCAAACTCCAGGCAGATTCAGGTGCAGGAGTGCAGTTTATTCCCATCTCAACACAGCAGCACAATTTCTATCATCTTCTGACCCCTGCCTTTTCCAATTAACCCTTTCCCAAGCCACAGTTGTCTTCTCTTGATGTCTTCATGATTTAATTGTTTACACACACGGCTGATTAAACTTGTTAAACTCGGTCACTAGTAAACCCCAGAATGCCATCTGAGACAATTCTCTCTTGGCACCTTCACCGTAAATTCCAGTTTCTCTCTGGTTATCAAGTGAAAAACTTGAAAGGGCGAAGGAATTCCCTTTCCCTGACTCTGTAAGTACAAATTATTAATGAAACTATCTCAACAAAGGCAAATGAGAAGGATCAAATGTGAATCCACAGGATGAAAAAGAAATAATCAGAACCCCACATTTTCAGGAACACTGAGGTCCACAGATCCCATTGGCAATCAGGACACTTCTATGTAGTCACGTGACCTTTTCAGCCTGTTTCACCTTGATCTTCCAGGTGCCTGATGGAAAGCTGTATTTATACAGTGCCCCATCAGTGTAGAATCTGAGCACCTCGCAATCTTTGATGTATTCATCCTCACAATACCCTGGGAGGTATTGTGTTCTGTTCTCCCCACTGTACAGAGGGGGAACTGACACACAGAGTGACTAAGGGAGGTACCCAAGGTCACACAGGAAGCCTATATTAGAACAGAAACTTGAACTCAGGTCTCCTAAGTCCTAGGCTAGCAACCTAACCACTGAGCTGTTCTTCCTCTCTGCTACTTTTGTCTTTTGCATCTCACTCCTACTATGTTCCCCGTTCTTCTGGACTGAAACGAGGGCAGGTGCTTATGTTGTTAACTTGCAGGCCTTTGCATGAGGGTCCCTGAGGAGTCCTCTCTCCTCAGACAGAAAACTGTGTAAATTGTCCAAGACAAGCCAGTTCTTAAAAACAAGTTTTATGTAAAGAGTTACAAGCATGGGAACAAACAGAGAACAAACAAATTTAAACGCTCAACACTGCTCAGGGTTGCCTGGCCCCAAGGCCCCCCCAGGATGGCCTACTGCCAGGGGCAGTTACAGGAACCCTTTCATTCTCTTATAAGCAAAGATCCTTCTGTGCCCCACGTTGGTAACCGCTGACAGTCTGTCCTTGCTGGCTTCCTGCTGTGTGAGTGTGTCTTGTTTTAAGTGGAAAAGATGCCCTGCTATTCCAGTCGGAATCCATTATCCTATTGCCTAATATAGGTGTCCTGGTTAGCTAACGACCTCCTATTGTCAAGGCAGGCAAATGGCATTCCAGGAGATTACAGCCTACTCCACGGTAATAGTTTGAGAGCTAGATGATATCCCAGTTACAGGGCTGGCTGCCGCTCTTTCACCTTTCTGGTCTCTCCGAGTGCGTCCCCTCAGGCACCAGGCTTCCTGCGTTCACCACTCCTGGGGTGGAATCAGCCGTTTCACCCACTCTTGAGACTGGGCACTGGGCTACAGCACCCTTTGTGACAACCACGTTTACCCAACAGGACCGACTAGGTTCAGCACCCGGGGTCCTTTCCTTTGGGAATCTGTGACCAGTGGTGCGTACAGTCAGAGTGTCAGCTTCACCCAAAGCATTGTCTGTTTTGGAGCAGGAATAAAGCCCCGAGAGAAAAAGGATTGAAAACAGCCTACACACGTCCATCTTGGCAGTCGATCCTACCCATGTGGTGGATGGTAACTAGGGTTACCATATGTCTGGATTTTCTCGGACATGTCTGGCTTTTTGGTCCTCCAATCCCCATCCGGGAGGAATTTCCAAAAAGCGGGACATGTCCGGGAAAATAGGGAGGCATGGTAAGGGGACCGCCTCCTCCCCGGGCTCCAACTTTCCTGGCTCCCGCCGCTCTCCCCAGCGCAGCAGCAGCCGGAGCCCGGGAGGAGGTGGGTGCGAGCTCGGATGCCGCCGCCAGCCGGCGCCGCTCAGCCAGGGCCGGGGCCAGTGCCCCGGGGCCCGAGCCGAGCTGGAGTCACTAGGGCCTGGTCCGGGGGTGCTCGGCCAGGGCCGGGGCCGGTGCCGCTCAGCCGGAACCGGGGCCGGCGCCCCAGGGCCTGAGCCGAGCCGGGCCGAAGACGCCGGGGCCAGAGCCTCTTGGCCGGCCGCCGGAGGGAGCTGCTCGGCCGGGGGGGCCAGACTGGGCCGTGCCTCCTCGCGCCCTCCCCCCCGCCGCCCCAGCTTACCTGCTGCTTGCCTGCCTGCCTGTTTCAGGCTTCCCATGAACATTTGATTCGCGGGAAGCAGGGGAGGGGCAGGAGCAGAGGGGCAGAGCGTCCAGGGGAGGGGGCGGAGTTGGGACGGAGACTTTGGGGGAATGGGCAGAGTTGGGGCGGGGAAGAGGCGGAGTTGGGGCGGGGGCGGGGCCCCTTGGAGTGTCCTCTTTTTCCAGGACTGCAATATGGTAACCCTATGGAAACCTAATGTTGGGCTGCCAGCCCCCTACTGGAACTTAGTGAGTTAGTGAGACTTTGTCCGGCCCTCTCCCCCACTAGAAGAAAGGAGAAGGGCCAAAGAGGACTCAGAATCCTGAGACTGATAGTCCCCAGGGCCACTGGGGAAGAGGCTCGTTCTCCAAATCAGCCAACTTGACAGGGTGGGCAGGCCAAAGAGTGAGTCAATAGCCTGGGTCCCCTCCTTGTGAGCTGGGGCTGCCAGAGCAGAGCAGAGCCAAGGAGATAGCAGCAGCTGGAGCTTGGCTGGAGACAGCAGCAGCAGCACTGAGCTGGCGGTGGGGAGGGGGGGGAACAGAGCTGGGCTGGAGGCAGAAATAAGCTAGAGAGGGAGCTGGAGCAGCCCGGAGCCAGGAGCTGGGGCAGCGCAGACCAGCCACACCGAGGGTGAGCCAGGGCTGAGCTGCAGTGGGAGCCAGGGGGCCAGAGCCGGAGAGCGGCTGCCGTCTGGGCCACAAGTAACACTGGAGCAGAGAGAGATGAGCAGCTGAGGAGGGCAAGGGAGGACCCTGGGCAGTGAGGGCCCAGCAGAGGGAGATGTCACCAGACAAGAGGCCTTGAGGCCGGAGTTGGAGGGGGGACATGACCCTGGACGGAAGGGGCCGACGCTGGGGAGAAGGATCTCATTAGAGCCTGAGGGCGTGTATCCACCACCAGAGCAGTGTCTGACCTGTGGTATCACCACAGTACTGCCAGGGCCTGGTAGGGAGGCCTGGGAGGTGTGAGGAACAGGCTGTGAACTTTCCTTATATCTCGGACACTGCTGTTCATGGTGTTCTCCTTGCCCATGGGGGTGGGGAGTGGGGCTTCTTCCTTTAACCGTTTCCATTCTTCCAGTTGCTCTTTAATTAATTGTATTTGGTTTAAACTTAGAGCAGTGCTCAATGTGTTAGGAAAGCAGCCGGTGAGGAGAGAGCACCCCGGCATGGGGACACCCTAGCCCCTGTCCTGATTGACCACGACACGATTGGAGGTCGAGCCCCACAGGAATTCTGGGCCCAGCCTTGTCGGGGTTACAAGGACTCTGCCCACAGGAGAGGGGAAGGGGAGCCCTCAACGTCAGCAGGCCTCTGGGTGAAGGGAGTGGGAGGGAGGACTCAGATCCTTTTGCTAGCCCATTTCACCGGGGTAGTGCAGAAACCAGGAAAGTTCCCCACAATAGCGGGACCATTCCCACGGTTACACTAGGCAGGCTTCACTTCCTCAGGCACCCCTCAGTGGGTAACTGGCTCTCAGCCGGATTCTCCCAAACAACTACTGCTCCACCTCTGGAGAGAAAGTTCCTTTGGTCTTCTGTACTCGTGACCCCTTTCCTTTCATGGTCCCAACCAGTTCTATAGGTTGCCAGAAGGCAGAATCTTCAAAGCTAATAGTTTGGGCATTGATTCTGAAAGCCCTTAATTGTTTGCTGAGGGGTGGCTTATCCTGAGCCATTCTTGCTCTTTCTGCTTGTCTTTTCTAACAGGCCCCTATTAGACTAGCCCACTATTGTCCTACAGTGACCCTCCAAATAACCAGGTCAACCTACAACATTCATAAACTATTGCAGAGCAGTTGCAAACTGTCACTGGATCTTAATGGCCATGTCTCACCCCAATGGTTACTTCATCCCCCGAGATGGTGGCTGGGTCTGAAAGAGCCTGGGAAGGGTTTCCTCCACAAAAGAGCTTCCACCCCTTTGCCTTTCGCACAAGTCCTCAAACATAATTTTAGCAATTGGCCATATGGGGCGAAATTCTGGCCCCATTGAAATCAATGGGACTTTTGCTTTTGACTGCAGTGGGACCAGGATTTCATCCATAAATCTTAGTTTGCTGCTGAGCCCACTTAACGGATTCAAGAAACTGACTTCAGGCAAGCCAGACTTGAACATTTTGGCGAGGGTTTAAAAGACACCAGTGCCTGGTGCTGCTGAAAAGCAGGGATGTTAAGATAACCACAGTTGTTGGTCACAGATGGGCATTGCCCTTAATCCTAAAGACATTCTCCCTGCCAGGGCCGGCCTTAGGGGTGGGCCCCCTGGGCCCACGGCGCCGTGGTCAGGGGGATGCCATGCAGCAGTACAGAGGTACACACTGCTGGCTGGCAGGGGAGCACCACAAACTCGCGAAGGCGACGCATGTGGGGGGTGCCCAGATTTCTCCCTGCTTCCGCCCCGCGGAATGGAGAGGGGGGATGAGTGGTGACACAGATACTGCTCTCCCCACTCCACAGATTGCTCCATGCCCCTCCCTAGGGGTCTGTGAAGAGGGGGAGAGTGAAGAGCAACATCAAGCACTCCATGCATCCAGGTCACTTCCCCACCTGGAATGTGCTGTGAAGCGAGCATCGGGAGCTGCTGCCCTCCCCTTACGCAGCCCCAGTGGGGAAAGTAGCCTGTATTCAGAGAGCCCTGACGCTGCTCCTCGCTCACAGCCCCTTAGGGGGACACAGAGGAGCAGCATTTGAGGGGGGAGCGAGCAGCAATGCCAGCCACTCTGTGCATCCAGGTCGGTTTCCCCACATGGGCGCAGGGGTTAGGGGCACGGCGGGGGGGGGCGAAGGGGTTAGGGGTACAGAAGGAACAGTGCAGCACAAAGTAAGGGTGGCAGTACACCATATACCATGCCACCCTTATTTCTCCGCTGCTGCTGACAGTGGCACTGCCTTCAGAGCTAGGCGCCCAGCCAGCAGCCACCACTCTTCAGCCGCCCAGCCAGTTCTTAATTTGTGCAGGGGCTTGCTGGGGCTGAGTCCCGGCACCTCTTTCAATACAAATAAAGCACTGAGGGAGGCAGCGGGGGCTTGAGGGGTGGGGAACCTGTGAGGGTCAGGGGGATGAGGAGCCCACAGGGGCATGGTGCAATGGGGCGGAGCACCATGCCCATGGGGGCCAGGAACACCAAAATACAAGTTCACCCAGGGTGCCATTTTCCCTAAGGCCGGCCCTACTTCCTGCCCTGAAAAATCCCTGTTATTGCAGCAGCCCAGCAATACAAATTTTAACATACGTATTAACCTTTGTCCTTTACTGGGCTGCAGAAATTCCAACTACTTCATCATTTATTTCCCTGCCATACTCCAGCTTAAGCTCTTACAGTGCGAGGCATTGAAGGAGTTCCAGAGAGCAACTGTGACACCAACTTGACTCTCTCCTGATACAGGAAAGCATGGTCCAGAGGGTGGCAATCATTGGAGCTGGGGCCAGTGGACTGGCCTCCATCAAGTGCTGTCTGGATGAGGGGCTGGAGCCCACCTGCTTTGAGCAAAGTCATGACATCGGGGGCCTCTGGAGGTTCACAGTGAGTGGGATTTCCTTATCCAGTGACTTTTAACAAGGTGTTTATTTTGGACCAGGCTATGTGTTGCTATGAATATTACCATAGTTTACATTCGCAGCCAAGGAAGAGACTGTACCCATGGACCTAGGCACATTTTCAGACTAGACTTGGGCTTTCCTTTCTGACTTCACGGAGAGAAGGAGATGGAACGACATGAGCCATAGTCTCTGGCATACACATATCTACTATTCCCCAGTAAAGTCAGTACTTACATTGAAGCAATGCTCCAGAGTCTGGAAATCAGGTGTATCCAGTCCCTCAATAACACCATTATAGAGACAGGGATATGAGGAGATTGAGGGCTTGTCTACATGGGGAAATTGACCAGAGTAGCTACTGCAGAAAAAATACTGTGACAGACCCAGACCAGTGGGGTACAGGAGTCTGGTAGAGGGCAAATATATTGGTCACTGGATGAGTAGTTTTCTGTTCCCTGAGTGACCAGAGAAGGGGCTGCACTAGAGTAATCAGGAACCTGCTAGAACCAGTTAAGGCAGGCAGGCTAATTAGGACACCTGGAGCCAATTAAGAAGAAGCTGCTAGAATCAATTAAGACAGGCTAATCAGGGCACCTGGGTTTTAAAAGGAGCTCACTTCAGTTTGTGGTGCGAGTGTGAGGAGCTGGGAGCAAGAGGCGCAAGGAGCCGAGAGTGAGAGGGTGTGCTGCTGGAGGACTGAGGAGACCAAGCGTTATCAGACACCAGGAGGAAGGTCCTGTGGTGAGAATAAGGAAGGTGTCTGGAGGAGGCCATGGGGAAGTAGCCCAGGGAGTTGTAGCTGTCATGCAGCTGTTACAGGAGGCACTATAGACAGCTGCAGTCCACAGGGCCCTGGGCTGGAACTCAGAGTAGATTGCGGGCCCGGGTTCCCCCCAAACCTCCCAATTGCCCTGGACTGTGGGTTCTTCCAGAGGGGAAGGTCTCTGGGCTGTTCCCCAACCCACGTGGTGAATCTCTGAGGCAAGAAAATCCGCCAATAAGCGCAGGACCCACCAAGATAGAGGAGGAACTTTGTCACAATACATTCTGGAATAGCTCCCCATGTGGACACACTTACTCTGGAATAAGCATGTCTGGTTTGTTTTTGTTGTTGGGTTGTTTTTTTTCTGTGTTATCTGAATCCGCTTTGGAAGTGGATTAAGCTAAACCAGGAAAGGCACTCTTCTTCCAAAATAAGAGAACAGCTATAGCCCTTTAAATTTACCTTATTCTGGAATAACTTCCCAGTGTAGACAAGTCCTGAGGTGGTAGCATGGAACCCATGTGTCTGTTCTGTGTACCAGTGGGCTGTTTAACCCTGCTCTGATGAACCAAGTCAAGTAAATCCCTCTCGGTCAGTCATTTTTTTGAAAACATGGTTGCATATTTTGCATTTGACACAGGAAGCTGGGAGGATCAGTGTCTACAGATCGGTGATAACCAACTCCTCCAAGGAGATGATGTGTTTCAGCGACTTCCCCTTCCCAGAGGATTTCCCCAACTACATGAACCACTTCAGACTCCTGGAGTATTTCAGAATGTACGCCGAGCGCTTCAGCCTTCTCAGATACATACGCTTCGAGGTAAGAAGGGAGTCAAAAGTTTGTGTGTGTGCGGCGCTGCAGTTGACACGTCAGGCCTTCAGGTCTGGCCAACCTACGTTTGGTGCAGGACCCAAAGAGGTGTGGGGACAAAGACGGCTTAACATTTAATGTCACCTTTGTGCTCTCCCAATCCTGGAGTTAGCCAGGCTGGCAGTCTGACCCCCACTGCTAGTGAAAGGAGACTCAAGGCTGCCCTAATATATGGTGGCTGGTGACAGGTCACACCCCTCAGCTACCCTTTTCAGCTACTTAGCATTACTGTCTTGGTGCAAAGGGGTTGGAGCAGGGGTCTTGCATACTTACAGAAGAAAGAAATGTCTGTATCTCCAGGCTTACCCAAGCACTGAGGCCCAGATCCTCAAAGGTCTGTAGATGCCTAACTCCCAGTGGAGTTCATAACTCCCAGTGGGATTTAGGAACCGAAGTATCTTCGGGGATCTGGGTCTAACCGTTCACACACGGAACCGATTTCCCGAAAAGAACAATCCATAATGATGTTTTGATTTTCATGTGGTTTCCTGTAAGACCACAGTTCACAGTGTAAGGAAATGCCCAGATTTCTCCACCACTGGCCAGTGGGATGTTTTCACTGAGACTGATGGGACGGTTGAGTCGGCCGTTTTTGACGCTGTTATGGTTTGCAGTGGCCATTATGCAGAGCCCCATTTACCACTGGATTCTTTCCCTGGTAAGTCCTGCATTTACGGCTGAACGTATTAAAGAAAGCCGCACGGCGTGTGGGGTGAAATTCAGCCCTGGCAAAGCCGTCTGTGGCGGGATGAATTCCAGCATTAGTGAATAAGGTGAATTCACATATGGACTGGAATACGGCTCCCTGTTTGCTTCCCTACAGTGCCCTGCCTGTGTCCTTCTGATCTGCCTAGAAGAGATGGTCTCTGTAGTAAGAGGGTATTTTATTCCTAATGTCCTTTCAGCCCTTGCCTCGCTAATGAGGCTGCCAATGAGGTTATTAATTAGCCCCAGCTGTGAGGGTGGTTTAATGTGATGCAGGTAAAGCACAAACTGAAACTGACTGCCTGAGGGGTCACTGGTATGACATAGCAGAGTAGAGCTAATACACAACTTCCCAGATCTACAGGGAGAAAGCGTATAGCTTTGCAACTAAGGAGAAAATCAGTCTGACCCATTTTCCGTGAGTTTTCTGCCATGCCTCACTTTGGGAAGCCCCACCCTTAGAATCCATGGGGGGGAAGATTTCATAGCCCCCTAAAAGAAAAGGCAATTGGCCGCACCTTCTCTCATGACAAGATGAAAATCTAGAGGGCCAAATCCTCAGCTGGTGTAAATTGGTGTAGCTATTGAAGTCAATGGAGCTATGATGATTTATATCAGCTGAGGACCTAGCACAGAATTTGCAAAATATTCTGAAGGATGATGATGGAAAGCACTAATATATAAGAAAAACAATGAGGAGTCCGGTGGCACCTTAAAGACTAACAAATTTATTTGGGCATAGGCTTTCGTGGGTAAAAAAACCCACTTCCATCTGAAGAAGTGGGGTTTTTTACCCACGAAAGCCTATGCCCAAATAAATCTGTTAGTCTTTAAGGTTCCACCGGACTCCTTGTTGTTTTTGTGGATACAGATTAACACGGCTACCCCCTGATACTAATATGTAAGCTAAGACAATTCATTGTTGTTATTTGTATATATTCCATGATCTCTGCAAACCCCCAGGCCTGAGTTGAACCTACTCCACACTAGAGGAGCATGAGGAAAATGAAACATTGATGTCAACATATTAGCAACTCCAGATTTAAAAAGGTGGCATTGTCTTGGCATAGGAATAAAAACCAATGGGCCCAGAGGATAGGATATTGGATCCTCTCAGAGTACTCAGGGCTCCACACATCACCCAGTGAAGTCAAGACTCCTATTGATTTGAAGTGGGAAGACTAAAGTAATTCAACAGGGATTAAGGGTCAAAAACAATGCTGTCCAGACAGAACTGTCTCAATGGAACAAGCACATTTATCTAATGGCAGGAGATGCTCCCTGCTTTTTTCACAGGTATAGAAAATTGCTTTAGAGGCCAGTACCTCCACAGCTGGGAATACAAAGACTCTGCCAGTTTCCAAGGGAAGAGAGTCCTTGTGCTCGGTGTTGGGAATTCTGGAGGAGATATCGCTGTGGAGATCAGTCGGGTGGCTGCTCAGGTACAGCTCTGGGATGGTGTAGAGATTTGGAGTCTGAGTTTCTCATGCACACACAGCGTCACTTTGGGGTGGCTATAATAATAGTCCAACGGACCACAAGCAAAGGCATATCAAATCCTGGGGAGCACCAGCCATGCTGATCGTGGTTTCTCGCTCAACACTATAACTACAATATCTACTGTTACTACTTGTATAGTGAATTGCCCCAAGTACACATGCCACCCTTTTGAAAGCGGAACGTATGCAATTGGCAAAGAATTCTAAGTAGATCAGAGGTTCCTGGACAGAAAGCACCTGTTCCTGTGACCACCAACCATCCCCTCCCTGCCAGTTTTCTTCCTTTAATTCCATCATCCGTTTTTGTCCTATCTCACACTGGTCTCCACCTACCCAGTTCCATCTCCAAAGTAGCTTTGCTGTTTCCAGATCAGCCACATGCAACCTGGCACCTTCAGGTCCTAGATGTACCCCAGAATCCTTTGCGTAGGCTGCCAAGGAGTCTTCTTTGAAAGAAATGGAAAGCGGGATGTTGAAAAGGTTTCACTGATAGTCCTGCACTCATGAGCAGGACCTGGGACTATTCTCCCACCTATCCCCCAAGTCAGGAAACATAGCTAGTATCCTGAGGTCTTCAAAAACCCTAATTACTGCCCATGGAAAGTGCCTCAGGAAGGATGCCAGACGATATTAGAATGGCATGAACAAACTAGTAGCCGAGGACATACCGAGATTAGGTATTGCCAAGTGCACAGAGGTTCAGATCAAGAGCTATAAAAAGATACATTTCAATTTCCTGGACTGTTTTGCAAGTCAGTTCAGCAGATAAATTGGTGGTTTTGCAGCCACTAGGAGTCAGAGAGAGACACTGTGAACTGACTTGTTCATCTGGATCCTGGTTCCTTGCCCCAACCTCCTTATCTTGGGATATTCTGGTTAGCTCTCTACCCTTCCACGCTGAAGGCCTCCTAGCAAACATGCAAGATATGATTTGACAGTGAACAAAAAAAGGAACCCAGATTCCCAGGCAATAAATTTCTCAGGCCTCAATTATTTTCCAGGTGTTTCTCAGCACCAGAAGTGGCACGTGGGTGATTAGTCGTATTTCAGACCATGGCTTCCCTCTTGACATGATGCTCACCACTCGCTTTCACAACTGTCTCGAAAACTTCCTCCCATCAGCCCTCATGAGACGGCTAAGACTGAAGAAGTTCAATACATGGTTTGACCATGCAAATTATGGCTTGATTCCTCAGAAAAGGTGCTTTCTTTGTTTTCTGTGTAAATCTCCCGTTTAATTTGGGGAATAGTTACAGATTAGCAAAGCCCTACGTTGCCTTGCTCATAGGCAGTTCTAGTTTAGGGATTAACATCTATCTGCCAATGGTGGCAATTTTTCACGTTTGTTTCCATGTCATACTTTTGTGTGAATCGATCCTTACCAGTAAGATTGACAGCTGCCCCTTTTGGAGAACAGTGTAACAGACTGGATCTATAATTTAAGGACCTAGAATATTACCCTACAGAAGGCAGGAGACTGGATAGCTCAGGAGTATAGCTAGGTGAATTTTTTTATGCAAACAGTTTTTTCCACTGCAAAAATGCAGATTTGGGTCAACTGAAACTATTCATTAATTTGGGTCAAATTTGACAAAAGTTTAGGACAAAAAATTAAAAAAAATTTTTTGGAAAAATCAAAATGTTTTTGTTTTGGTAATTTCAAATTGAAATTTTTCCACTTTTTGGAAAGTGGTTTTCTTTTGGAATTTATGTAGATTTAATTTTAAAAGAACATTAAAAAACATTTAAACCCTCCCAAACTAAAAACAAAATGAAAACAATTGTTTCAGGTTGAACAAAACGTTTTGTTCAATCCAAAACTATGTTTCAGGGCTGTTTTGGGATGAGGTTTGTTTTGTTGAGGGGGAAAAAATTTTGTTTCAGCTCAACCTGAAACAATTTTTTTCCCCAATTTTTCTATTCAACCTCCAAACTGAAAAATGAGTGATTTGCTCAGCCCTACTCAGGAGGCTGACAAAGACCCTTTAGCATCTAGGTGACTGGTTCAAATTCAGCCTAGGTCAGTGACAGGAACTTAGGATCACTACGTTCTGATCGCTGTTTGGTTGTCTACATGACATGAGTTCCTACATGACATGAGCTCAGCTTTCCACTCAAAGAAACATTACTATTGACAAGAAAAACACCATTGTAAGGCTAGATTCTCCTTTGCACAGCCTGAGCAGCATGAAGAAGTTGGAACCTGACTACACCTGGCCAGCTGACTCTCAGTGGGTATGAAGCCAGCACAGCCAGCTTCTCCACTGACCATCCTACCCACAACTCAGGGTGGGTTGGGGGTTGGGCATAGGTGAAAGTAAGCCAGTACGCCCCAGTGCGGTGTACCGGCAAGAGCCGGTGCGCTGTACTGGAGCGCATCGGCTTCCCCTGGTGGCAATTTAAAGGGCCTGGGGCTCCCAGCAGTGGCTGGAGCCCCAGGCCCTTTAAATTGCCGCCAGAGCCCTGCTGCTGGAGCCCTGGGGAAGCAGCGGCGGGGCTCGGGTGGCAATTTAAAGGGCCCAGGGCGCCTGCCGCAGCTACCGCCCCGGGCCTTTTAAATCGTCCCCAGAGCCCTGGGGTAGCAGCGGTGGAGCTCTGGCAGCTATTTAAAGGATCTGGGGCTGCGGCAGCCACTACTGCCCCAGCCCTTAAAATAGCCGCCGGAGACCCGCCGCCGCCTCCCCAGGGTTCCGGCAGCAGGGCTCCAGGGACAATTTAAAGGGTCCGGGGCTCGGTAGCCTCTACCGCCCCAGGCCCTTTAAATCGTCCCCGGAGCCTGCTGGAGCCATGGGGTAGCAGCGGCGGCGGGGCTCAGGCGGCGATTTAAAGAGCCAGGGGCTCAGCCACCGCTACCGCCCCAGGCCCTTTAACTTGACGCCGGAGCACCGCCGCCACTATCCCAGGGCTCCGGCAGCAGGGCTCTGGGGATGATTTAAAGGGCCCAGGGTGGTAGCGGCAGCTGGAGCCCAGGGCCCTTTAAATCATTGCCCAAGCCACCGGCTGCCGCTGCTACCCTGGGGCTCCGGCAGCGTGGCTCGGGTGGCGATTTAAAGGGCTCGGGGCTCCGGCTGCCGCTACTGCAGCGGAGCCCTGGGCCCTTTAAAGCTCTGCCAGAAGCCAGGGCCCCTCCGATGGTTATTTAAAGTGCCCAGGGCTCCGCTGTGGTAGCAGCACCTGGAGCCCTGGGCCCTTTAAATCACCCCTGGGGCTCCCAGCCGCCTCTGCAGTTGGTAGCTCCGGGGGTGATTTAAAGGGCCCGGGGCTCCCAGCTGCTGCTACCACAGCCCCAGCCCCGGGCCCTTTAAATCCTGATTTAAAGAGCCCGGGGATTTAAAGGCCCCGCCTCTTCTGGTAGAGGCCACGCCCCCTCCTAAGGACTCTGGAGTACCGGTAAATCCTTTAAGTTACTTTCACCCCTGGGGTTGGGTGGAGTACAGCTCTGTTCCTCCTGGCCCAGTTGCAGTGTGGTGCCTAGGGATCAGACCCAGCTGTCATAAATTAGGCTGCTCTAACTTATGCCACAGCGCCTTGAGGATCAGGAAGCTATACCAGCCCCAACCGTTCTCCGTCTTCTTCTACATGAAGTACACCTTGGGGCAAGAGAGAATCTAGCCGACAAATGGTAGTCCCAGCTGGTATTGGACAGACAGCTCTGGATTCTGACTGCTTCTGCTTATCCACAGAACAGGGCAAGCTCCCTCCACATTTCCCCATCTACACACCTCACCCCTGAGCACCTACGTGCTCCATGTCTGGTCTTCCCCCATTAGCTCTTCCACACCTCACAATTCATTGTAGTATAGCCAGAATTCCAGCTCTGCTTTGGTTCTTTATCACACCCCATGTCAGAGCAAATACTGCACTCAATCTCTCGCTCTCCCTTCCTTCTATGTGCCAGTCCAAACCTAAGCTTAATTGTGAATGATGAGCTGCCAAGCTGCATCCTCTGCGGTGCTGTTGTGGTAAAACCAAATGTGGAGGAGTTTATGGAAAGCTCAGCTGTCTTTGAAGATGGGACCGTAGAGGAGAACATCGACATGGTGGTCTTTGCTACCGGATACACTTTCTCTTTTCCCTTCCTTGAAGAGTCTGTTCGCAACATCTGCAGAAGCAAGTACGCCCTTTACAAATACATCTTCCCACCCCCTCTGGAGAAGCCGACGCTGGCTGTCCTAGGCCTTATAGAGCTAACAGGCTCCATCATGGCAGGAACAGAACTCCAGGCTCGTTGGGCCACAAGGGTCTTTAAAGGTAGGCAGACATACACACGCTAGCTTTGATCTAGCTGGTGTGCTAAAAATAGCAGTATAACCACGGTCGCGTGATCTGGCCACCTGTGTACAGTCTCAGCTAGCCCCTCCCACCACCCGTGTTGCCATTAGTAGAATGTGAGTCACACAGCCAACATGACCCTAGACAGAGCGTAATTCCCCAAAGAATTAACACACTAGCTTCTCTGCGACATATGACTTGGAGCCTCAGCTGTGTAAACTCACCTAGCTCTGCTTGTTTCAGTGGAGTGGTGTTGATTTGCACCAGCTGAGGATTTGGCCTTTAATACTTAGATCAGCTCTTGCTAAATATGTCCAGCCTCTGATGTAATCAGTGAAGGAGCTCATAGTGGACTGACTGGTTTGAGGACTTCGGGATCATCTGTGCAAAGAACTAGTATGTTCTCTCGTTTCTCTTATGTTCCCAGGGTTGAATCAGCTCCCTCCTGCCAGCAGGCTGATGGCTGAAGTTGCTAAGAAGCAGCAGCATCTAATTAAACAGTACGAAATGCTACTTATTCTATTCCATATTCAGGGCATGGTGCTCCAGTCAGTAATATCGCTGCTGAACAGGGGAAGGTAGCCCCTCTATCTATCCGTGTCACCAGAGACTCTGAGTGCCTCACAGTATGTTGCTGTATTTATCCTCACCACAATGCTGTGGGGCAAGGCAATGCTGTTATCCCCATTTTACTGATGGGGAAACTGAGGCACCTCAGCTAGACCTTTCAGGAAGTGAAGAGCCTAAATACCTTTGAGGATCTGGGCCCTAGAAACCAAGTGACTTGCCCAAAGTCACATGGAAAGTCTGTAGAGGAGCAGGGACTCAGGTCTCTCAAGTTCTAGACTAACACTCTAACCACTGTACCATCCTTCCACTGACTCACTAGCTAGATTAATAGACTTTTTTACTGCAATTTTTTCCCTATCTGTTTGGGTTTTGGCTTTTAATTCTCCTTCTGTGGAACCAAACAGGTGACGAAGAGAGTCAGGGGAAACTCTTCTAACAGAGGCTATGTCTCCACTGCAGTCCAAGGTGTGATTACAGGACATGTAGACATACCGTGTTAGCTGTAATCTGCTGCAGCAGCACAGGTTAGCCTCCCAAGTAGGTATCCAGGGTGCCAGGTTGGCTTGTACAGACTGCACTGAAGCCCATGCTGCCGCAGTTTGACTGCTACTGGTACCAGCTCCACACATCCTGCACTGACGCCTCCGATTGCAAGGAGACATATGCATTTCTATGGCTAACAAGACCCTAGAATGCCATTAACCAACGCTCCTGAATAGAGGGGGGTTGGACTCGCAAGAGTTCATTTGAAACATTTATTTTGTTTCATTCATGCCCTCTTCCAAGTTTTTGAAACTGAATGAAACTGAGTTTCACACAGATTCAAAACCACCCAGAAATGGCACCAGTTTGACACAACAGCACTCAAAATAGATCCATTTCTACTGGGAACCAGATCCGAGTGAGCTCAAAGGGATCACAAACTTTTTGACAAACTTGGACCAAGTCTCGAGTTGCAACAGAACAAAACCAGGTGAGCTTTGCACATTTTGGGATTTATTTGATCCAGCTCTAACCCTGAAGTTAATGTTTTCCTCTAGAGCAGTGGCACCATCTTGTGGCTAAAAAGAAATGGCAGCTGTTTCCTGTGCCTGGATTCCCCTTCTTCCTAGTTCAGGAGAAACAGGAGTGAGAGTCAACCACTGATTATAAAACTGAAAGAGTTCTGATTGCAGGCCTGTCTGATGAGGCTGCTGGTAGAACAGTGTGTGCAGCATTCTACACTAGTGCCTGTTAAAACGATGCCTGCCAGGATTGCAGGGGGATCCTCTGGCAATTATAACACTGCATACAAAGTGTCCCTCTAGTAACCACACCTTAGTTCTGGGGGGGATCCCATCAGCTGACCCCATTTAAGTTCCAAGGGAATTTCCTTTCATGACCATGCTGGTCCTCGTGCTTTTCTGGCTATGTTGCAATTCTCACTGCTTCCCTCTCCCCCTGAATCCAGCTCAGGGAGAACGTGGCAGGGAAGACATGACAACAAAAATCTTCTCATGGGCTTAAAGCATGGGCAGCAGGTATAATAGGCCAGGGGAAGCTAAGCCTCCCCAAACAGGATGTGGTGCGCCTCCCTCTGGAGGCATGCCGCTAGCCTGCTGCCTTTGGAGCGCTGTGACCGAAAGGGCGCCCGGGCCACGGCCCCACCCACGCTCCACCTGAGGTCCTACTCCCATATCCCACTCTTACCCCATTGCCCTGTCCACATTGCTCCTCTTCCCATCCCTCCCGCCTGCCTTTTGTGCCTCTTCTCCCCTACCCCCATGGCCCCTCCACCCACCGTTCATGCTTCTTTGCCCCTGAGAGGCAGAGAGGCATGGGGAAAGGAGACTCTCAGGGGAGTGGGAGGATAGAGGCACAAGCAGTGAGGGAAGGGGGGGCTTGAAGGAGGGGGTAGAAAGACACGAGTGGCAGGGGGAGGGGCTTGGAGAAGAGGGGCTGAGCAGGAGCGGGGCCTTGGGTGGAGTGTGGGTGGGACCTTGGCAGGAGGATGCTGAGTGGGGCCGAGCCTCAGGGCGGAGCAGGAGGTGGAGCCACGGTCTGGGCACCGGTAGCCCACCCAGTTCTAGGGAGCTTCCGGCACTCAGGCCCAGCCTCCCCAAATCCGGGAGTCATGCGCCACCCATGGCTTAGAGAGAACCATAAAATATGGAACTATCCAGGACCCTGAGAATGATCTTTAAAGGTCCATTTGCTTGGGCATTGTAGACTTTTATCTATGACCTTCAAAACCCATCATCTCAACAATTGTCTCCCCTTCACAAGGACTGAGGCTTTGTCTTCACTACAAAAAAAAAGGTGTGTTCTTAACTCAAGCAAGAGCTAACTCAAGGCAAAACCCTAGTGAAGATAAAAACAATATTAGAAATGGAAAAGGTACAGAGAAGGGCAACAAAAATGATCAGTTTCCATCTGAGGAGAGATTAATAAGACTGGGACTTTTCAACTTGGAAAAGAGATGACTAAGGGGGAATATGATAGAGGTCTATAAAATCATGACTGATGTGGAGAAAGTGATAAGGAAGTGTTATTATTCCTTCTCATAACACAAGAACCATGGTCATCCAATGAAATTAATAGGTTTAAAACAAACAAAAGGAAGTATTTCTTCACACAATGCACAGTCAACCTGTGGAACTTGTTGCCAGGGGATGTTGTGAAGGCCAAAACTATAACAGGATTCAAAAAATAATTAGATAAGTTCCTGAATGGTAGGTCCATCGGTGGCTATTAGACATGCTGTGGGTGTCTTAACCTCTGACTGCCAGAAGCTGAGAGTGGACGACAGGGGATGGATCATTTGATGATTGCCTGTTCTGTTCATTCCCTCTGAAGCACCTGGCAATGGCCATTGTCAGAAGGCAGGATACTGTGCTAGATGGACCATTGGTCTGACCCAGTAAAGCCTTTATGTTCTTATAAGGAAGTTTGTAGTTTTCACATGAGTTAGCAGGTCGAGCTATACTTAAAACCTAGACTTTAATTCGACCTGCTGCCACAGGTGAAAACTAAAACCTGCCTTGTCCTCACTAGCATTTCCCCTCAAGTTAGAGTGTGACTTCACGGCAGAGTTAGTTGCATTGGAGTTACTCTTTTCAAGTTAGCCTGGCTTGAGTGAGAGCAGCCACACTGACATAACCCACCAGCTGCTGTCTCCACATTGGCTCTGTGCTCAGGCATTGTAACCCCCCTTCTGGGGCACCCCTGATCTCCAAAGGCAGTGGAGGGCTCGGTTCCTCCCTCCTTGGGAATTCTTTGACACACACCGCTTTGGGACCAATGGGATCTGTTTCCTGATGAATGGTGTCTCCACCTATTGGCTGAGGGTTCAGGTGGCCACACTGCTAGGACCTCTAGGAATAAGCTAACTAGTGTAGTAACTATGCCCAGATAAGAATGACAACTATTCATTTCCTGGAACAGGAAAAGGGGGAATTAAGGAAGGAGAGGAGAACAGGAGAGACACTTCGGAATGGCCCTAAAATGGATCCCTGACCTGTGTTACAACAATGGCCATTCCCAAAGTCTCTGTGGTTCGCACAGCGTGGTTGGAGATCAATGGGCAGGCTGGCATCGCTGTGGGCAATTTCACAGTTGGCTGGTTGGTGTCCCAAGCGAATCAAGCCACGGCTGATTTCCGGCCTCCAGTGCAGGATGGGCCTGTGGGCGATGTGATCTTCCAGCTCTTAGAGTTGCCATAGCTTCTGGGTGTTCAGGCTTCCTGGAACAGTGCAGGGCCTCTGAGTCAGCTTCAGGCTTCTGACCAGGAGAGTCAGAAAATGGCTTCTCCTGCATGCAGCCAAAGAGAATACATCCCTTCCCCCCTCCCCCACCTCCCCTCCCCCGCACAGGTGCTCCATTTCCGAAGTCACACAGGGGCCAGTCCGGCATGTCCATGACTGGTCCCTCCAACACAAGCCAGTAGGAAGGCAGCCTCAGTCTCCACACTGTGCTGCTCCCTGTGCTGCTGCAGCCCTAGACTGGCAGAAGCTACACCCATACATGGCACAGTGAGTTCTGGGAACATATCCCATGATTCTTTGTGCTGCAGTAAGCTGAGCTGCTCTGTGAATTGTGGGAAGGCACTGGACTATCGGCATTCGAGGGAAGCTAGCCTGCATCCACACCACAGAGTAGTTGTGTTAGCAGATGGCAAGTTGTACCAAGGTGAGTTTGTCTATAGGGACTAACCAACTCAAGTTAAAAGCATCATCGCACTTTCTGCACGAGTGGGACTCAAGTGAGGAGCAACACTCGAGTAATAACTCAAGTGAACTTTGCAATGAAGACAAGCACTTCACTAACTCCAATGAGCTAACACACCTCTTTTTTTTTATATCATGACAACAAGGCCTAATGCAGAAAGAGTGAGGATGTGTTCCAAATCCCAGTGACTGTCACACCTACTCATGATCTCATTACATGGGCGCTGGTTCAAATTAAGATCAAGTTAGTGATCGAGACAAAAAAATCACCTAACTAATGGCTGATGGTGAACTCTTGTGAGATGAGTAGATGATCTCAGTCTAGCTCTTAATGAACTGGTGACAAATGACCTGAGCAGATCAAAGCAGGCAGACGGAGGTGGGAGGATATGGTCCCTTATCTTTTTAACTCTCCTCAGAGGGGAACTCTCTTAACTTTCATAGCCCTTCTCTGGATCTTTTTTATTTCTGCTGCTCCCTTTTTCAGACAGGGTGGCCAAAACTGAACCAAGATTGTTAGGGTTCCCTCCCACTCTGAACTCTGGGGTACAGATGTGGGGACCCACATGAAAGACCTCCTAAGCTTATTTCTACCAGCTTAGGTTAAAAACTTTCCAAAGGCACAAATTCTTCCTTGTCCTTGAATGGTATTGCTGCCACCACCAAGTGAGTTAGACAAAGATTCAGGAAAAGGACCACTTGGAGTTCCTGTTTCCCCAAAATATCTCCCCAAGCCCCTTTACTCTCTTTCCTGGGGAGGCTTGAGAATAATATACCAACCAAATAGGTAAACAAGGTGAGCACAGACCAGACCCTTGGGTTTTTAGGACACTAAAAACCAATCGGGTTCTTAAAAGCAGAACTTTATTATAAAGAAAAAAGTAAAAGAAGCACCTCTGTAAAATCAGGATGGAAGGTAATTTTACAGGGTAATAAGATTTAAAACACAGAGGATTCCCCTCTAGGCAAAACTTTAAAGTTACAAAAACAGGAATAAACCTCCCTCTTAGCATAGGGAAAATTCACAAGCTAAAACAAAAGAGACTCTAACGCCATTCCTTGCTTACTTACAATTTTTGTAATCTTAGATGCTCATTTCAGGTAGGGGTTTAGGAGAGGTTTTTTTCCTGCCCTGATTCCTCTCTGGCCAGGAGAGAACAACAAAAAGAGCACAAACAAAAACCTCCCCCCACAGATTTGAAAGGATCTTCTTCCCTTATTGGTCCTTTTGGTCAGATGCCAACCAGGTTATTTGAGCTTCTTAACCCCTTACAGGTAAAGGAGGGATTTTATGCTACCCTTAGCTGTATGTTTATGACAAAGATGAAGGGCATAACATTGATGTATATGATGGCATTATGTTTTCAGTGTTATTTATAGCCATGTCTTCAATGGTTTGTATATCTGACCATTTGCTCTGCACAGAGCTTAGTATGAATCAGGGAAATGGGAAGGAGTTTCAGTCATGCATTTTGGGTTTACACAGAAATACAATAACCTCTTTGTTTTATTTCCTAATGAAGGGGTCTTTCCAACAAGGAGAGCAAAATCAAGATGAGTTACATTGGCTACATGGATGAAATTGCATCATGTGTTGGTGTAAAACCCAACGTGCTGCTGCTGTTCCTGAAGGATCCCAAGCTGGCCCTGGAAGTTTTCTTTGGCCCATGCACCCCTTGCCAGTATCGCCTGGCTGGACCAGGAAAATGGGTAGGAGCCAGAAACACCATCCTGACCCAGTGGCACCGGGCTCTGAAGCCCCTGAGAACTCGAGTCATCAATGATTCTTCCAATCACTCTTTGGTTTTCCACTGGCTTACAATTCTTGGCCTTCCTGCACTCCTTTGTGCTGGTTTACTTATTTGTAAATATTCCCCTCAACTGTGGTTCCCCAGGGTAAGATTAGGTGCTATTCCCATACGTAAAATGGGCTTCATGAAAGGAGGGCTCTGAGTAGCTGGTGAAGGTTCTAAGCTGTGCTGCTAGAAGACAATAACTTCAATGTCTGGAACCATTCATAATTCCAAAAAAATTCAGACTCTTCCAGCCCAGCTCATCCCAATCAGATTGACACCGGAAACCACCCCTGGCCTTGGCACTTTGAGAATACACACACTCACTCTCCAGCTAATATGAAGTTGGTCCTGAGGTCAACTGCTGGCTGAGGAAGCCCTGACAATGCAGAGCCAGAGAGAGCAACAGAGACTATAGGGATTACCAACTCAATCAATGCCTCAGATTATTACAATTGAGATGTCAGATGTTTCATTTGTCTTTCACCATTGACCCTGCTTGTTTACTGATTACATATTGTTTGTCTTGGATTATGAAAATAGACTAGTCAGCTTCTCTTTTATACAGAGAGAAGTTGTATAGATAAGTTTCTAATCACTTTCATTTTCTGATTCTTTCCCATTGTGTGTTTGCTACCAGGTGTAGTGCTTACCTTAGCCAATGAGCCACACTCCCTGGTGCCCTGCACCTTATGTAGTTATTTCCAACAAATAATTATCTTGTCTCATACCCCACTCAATGTCAACCTGGGTTTGATTTACCGCAAAGGCAATGGAACCTTCTGAATTGGTTTTGTACTGGACATGGAATTTGTGCTGCAGCAGAATTTTGGTGGCATTTATAGACAGTCCATTATGTCAATATGGGCAGCCACAAACCATGATACATATTGTTGAGGACTGCCAAATGACTCAATTTCCTGGAGGTCTTTGTGCCTTGAACATCGTCAATAAGAACACTGTGGCTTGGTTTGATCAGATTCCATACGCAAAAATAAATAAATAAAATAAATTTCCAACAATACAAACAGGATGCAACTCTTTAGCATTCTGATGTTAGTAGCATTTTACACTCATTTGGACAGAGGCAGGACTAAGAATTATCTAGACCATCCCTGACAGGTGTTTGTCTAATCTGTTCTTAAAAACCTCCAGTGGTGGAAATTCCATTACCTCCTTAGGTAATTTATTTCAGTGCTAAAATCACCCTGACAGTTAAGAAGTTTTTCCTAATGTCCAACCTAAACCTTCCTTGCTGCATTTTAAGCCCATTACTTCTTGTCCTGACTTCAGTGGTTAAGGAAAACAATTTATCAACCTCCTCTTTATGACAACCTTTTACATACTTGAAGACTAATATGTCCCTCCTCCGTCTTCTCTTCTCCAGACTAAACAAGCTTATTTATTTCAATCTTTCCTCATAGGTCATGTTTCCTAGACCTTTAATCATTTTTGTTCCTCTCCTCTGGACTTTCTCCAGTTTGTCCATGTAGTGATTCTATGGCTGTCCCTCCCCATCAGGCTCCGAGGGAGGCTACTCTGTCTCACTATGTCAGTAAGGGTGTCAATTAGCAGGCTAGGGCTCTGAACCTCTGGGCGGGCAAAGCAACAAGCAGTCTTTAGCCCAAGGCCTCCTGGCTTGGGCAGACAGCAATTGACAGTCTAAGAACTCTGATCCTTTAGCTACAATCTTCATGCTGGAGCAGGCAGCAAACACCTTCTGGGGCTCTGGGTGGGCAGAGCAATAGGCAGGCTTTAGCCTATGTGAGTAGGCCTGCTGACCTCAGGTGACTAAGCCACCATCCCCCTTAGGGGACCTGGGCCCACCCTACTCCACTAGGTCCCAGCCCAAGCCTCTAACAGTGGCGGGTGGTCCCACCACTATGTCAGCAGGGCAGTTACTGAAAAACACTGACTCATTTTCTGGCCACACAACCAGACTAATATCTGGCTTCCCTGGGCTACTTCCTACCCCTGGCTGTAGGGCTCCGTTGCTCATGGATCCCCAATTTCCATGGGGTAATCATCTGGCAGAAGTCCTGGCAGCTCCTCAGGGTACTCACCTGGTGGCAGTCTCGGCAGCTCCCTTCCTTCGGGGTTCTCCTCTGGGTCAGAGACTGGCATAGCTCAGTCCTTGGTCCAGGGGCTGGCCACAAGGCAGAGGCACCTGACTCCTTCCCTGGCTCTGGCCCACCTGAGCTAGAGACCTCACCTCTTATACTTCCTGTTCCTCCCCTCTGCTTCTGGCACAGAGGCGGGACTTGCCTAGCTCTCCTCAACAGGGGGTGGAGAGTGGTTCCTCTCCGTCAGGCTCAGAAGGAGGCCACTCTGCTTCACTACAATCCACGTTTCCTGAAGTGTGGTGCCCAGAACAGGACACAATACTATAGTTGAGGCCTTATCTGTGCTGAGTAGAGTGGAAGAATTTCTTCTCACGTCTTGCTTATAACACTCCTGCTAATAAAGCCCAGAATTATGTTTGCTTTTTTTGCAACAGTATTACATTGTTGACTCATGTTTAGTTTGTGATCCACTATAACTGCCAGATCCTTTTCTGCAGTACTCCTTTCTAGGCAGACATTTCCTATTGTGTATTTGTGCAAATGATTATTCCTTTCAAGTGGAGTACTTTGCATTTGTCCTTACTGCATTTCATCCTATTTAATTCAGACCATTTCATCAGAATCATTTTGAATTCTAATTCTATCCTCCAAAGCACTTGCAACCCCTCCCAGTTTGGCATTGTCCACAAACTTAATCAGTGTACTCTCTGTGCCATTATCTAAATCATTTATAAAGATATTGACTAGAACCAGACCCAGGACAGAAATCAGCGGGACCCAACACAATATGCCCTTCCAGCTTGATTGTGAATCCTTGATAACTACTCTCTGAGTACGGTTTTCCGGCCAGTTCTGTACCAACCTTATAGTAGGTTTGTCTAGGCTATATTTCTCTAGTTTGCTTATGAGAAGGTCATGGGAGACAGTATCAAAAGCTTTCTAGAAGTCAAGATATGACATCTACTGCTTCCCTCCAACCACAAGGCTTGTTACCTTGTCAAAGAAGGATATTAGGTCAGTTTGACATGATCTGTTCTTAACAAATCCATGTTGACTGTTATTTATTATCTTATTTTCTTCTAGGTACTTTCAAATTGATTGTTTATTTGCTTCATTATTTCTGTGGGTAAGAAGTTAAGATGACTGATCTATAATTCCCTGGGTTGTCCTTATTCCCCATTTTATACATTAGGAGATGGGATTGGTTCCCAGGGGCTTTTGGGAAGGGATTGGTGGACCATTAACCAATGACTGCTGTTATTGGGCGTGGCTGTGCATTTTCATTGCAGTCACCTGGTGTTAGCAAAACATAACATAAGCTAACTCCAGGCCTGCCCTCTCCCTCAGGTTTGGTGACTGCTTTGTGGTGTGGCAGGTCTGAAGGGTGTGAATGTGAAGCATGTTAAGGAGGAAACTTGCAGTTCATACCCTGTTAAATCTCCACTGAAGACAATGTCTGTGAGAAGTAGTAAACATCGTTCCTGGCAGTAAATATCTGTGAACCCCCTGGTCAGTGTGTGGAATGGATCCCGATCCACAGAGGCTATATATCTGTTACAGCTCTCAGTTAAAGAACCTGGCTCTTTAGCTCAAGGCCCAAGCTGTAGACACTTATGCTTTCAGCTCTGGAGATCCCTAGTGTCAGTCAAGATGGTGGCCCTCAAATCTGCATGATTGGGCCCTAGCAGAATGGATACAGCTGTTCCAAAACAAACAAACAAACAAGGTAATACTTAAGTCCCTGATCTCTTTAAAGAGACCTGCTTTCCTGTGGCAGATTCCTTCAACGACATAAAAGAAACAGCAGAGATTCATAGTTTGTAAGGCCAGAAGGGTCTTCTGTGATCATCTAGTTTGACCTCTTGCATAACACTGCCCATAAAACGTCACTGGACTAATTCTTGTTTGAACTAGAGCATATCTTCTAAACATCTAATCTTGATTTTAAAATCACCGGTGATGGAGAGAATCCACCTCAGCCCTTGGTAAATTATTCCAGTGGTTAATCACCCACATTGTTAAAAATGTGTGCCTTATTTCCAATCTGAATTTGTCTAGTTTTAACTTCCAGCCATTAGATCTTGACTTCTGGCCATTGGATCTTGACATCATAATGCCACCTCCAACAAAGCCCTTGAGGAGAGCTAGTTAGACTCAAGAACAGCTTTCAATGGACACTTAAAAGGTTTTGCCCTCCTCCCTGCCATGCAGACTGACTTTGAATTCTGAAATGGTTTCCTAGAACTGTTGAGTCCATTTCCGGACATGTGGGTATTTATAGTGTGGGTGGAGCCACCATCCTGAGTAGCAGATACAGTATGAGAATTCCAGATCACCCGGCTCCCTCTCCCATCTACGTGAGTAAAAATAAGCAAAACAAATAAAAGCAAGGTATGTGTTTTTTAAAGTGTATTTTTTGTCTGGTGGGAAATACACATGTGAGCATATATGGGACCCCAGGGTTTTTGATGCATTTTTACTGGCAAATTATTTAGAATTCCTCAACATATTATTTTCTTGCTTTTAGATTGTAAATTCTTTGAGCAGGGCCTGTCTCTTCCTCTCTTTAGAAAGGACCTCACACACATTGGTGCTGCCTCAGTCTAAATAATGAAAATATTGCTCTTATTTGTATTCATTATTTTATGGCACCAAAATGTGATTTAGGTGCTTCTCAGAAGACATGGTAAGTCATGGTCCCTGCCCTAAAGAGCTTACAATCAAAGACCCTGATCCTGCAAAGAGAACCATGCAGAGAGACTCCTGCACCCATGTGACCCTAAAAGTTCCCCAATGACAGTTGGCAGACTGTTGTCATGATATTTACCCAAAAGGTGTCATTTAATATATCATTGGAAAACTAACAACTCAGCAATCATTAATATGTTTGCATGATGTATGTATGGTAAACCCCCAAAAGACTTTATAGATATATACTGGAAATATGTGACTAAAATATGTTTAAATCAGGCAGGTCAGGGGAATTGATAAACAGGTTCTCTCCAGACAAAGGAAAGAGGCCAACACCTCAAACCAGGTGTGGCCAAATTCAGTGGGCTATTCATTTGTATTGGAGGTTGTGGGAAGAGATCATTTGCATTGCAAAAATCACCATCGGGGAGAAGAGACAGCATGAAGTCTTCACCAGACAGCATGGCATCCACACCCAGCAGGGAAAGGAACTTTATCTGGAGATATGTTTCAGAAGAATACATTTCCAATGTTTACTGGCCTATGAAAAGAGGGGGAGCAAGCCCCTAAGTTATCCTGAGGAGTCAAAGAAGCCCAGCGCTTTGAGCTCCATGTGTTGGGTCCTGGACAGAGGGTCTGGTCAGCCATGGTGGAAAAGAGACTTGGTGAGAAACACTTCTTTGAACAAGACACCCTACTTCGTTAAAGCAGGTTTTAGTCTTGGATGCATATCTTACTTCTGTTTCCTCGTAACCCTTTCTGTCTTTATTCCTTGTACTATGGCTTTTTGTTTAATGACCTTGTTTTAATTTTACTATAAACCAGCTCAGTGCTGTGATTGAATCAGAGTGTTTGTCAAACCCCAGTTAAATTAATGAGCTGCAGTGTATTGTCTCTTTAAAGGAACAACAAACTTAATAACTTCTGTAAGTGGTCAGTGAGAGAGGTGGACAGTGCAGGGAGGCAATTTTGGGGAAATTTGGGACTGGGAGGGTGGTGGGAACACTCTGCGACAAGTAACTGGGTGGTGGAATCCAAGGTATGCTTCTTTCCCCTGGTCTGGTGGATGGCCATCTTGGTTAGCATCAGGAGGAGGTTGATGAGGAGGTCTCACGACTTTGTGGGGCCACAGATCTCCATGTGGTCTAG